GCCACACTTCCTGAGAGGATGCCTGGTCGGGCCCCGGGCGCCCCGAGGGCTCCTGCCGCTCCTCCCAGCGCGGGCAGTCTGCAGGCGCCCACCAGCACTGCGACGGCGAGTGGGGGACACACCGCGGGATCCAAGTCGGGGTGCGCCAGCCCCGCCCAGCCTCCTCCTCGAAGTCCTGAGCCTGGACACCCTCCCGGGGCGGGCTGGGCTCCAGGGGGGCACCTGGAGGACCGCCGCACAGCACCGCCTGGCGCCTGCTCCTGCCTCTGTCCCGGGCTGCGGATGGCTCACGTGGGAGACATGGCAGGCGGCAACAAGCCACTCGCAGCAGAGCAGAGCGACTGCAGTGGCCCACCCAGAGTGAGCGAGTCTTAAATTAGCACATGCGACAAAGTAGCAAAGGGTAACCAAAAGAGACACCAATGGTCGAAACAGACACACCGATGATTTTTATTCAGTGCTAATGGGCAGAACGTCACAGTTAATAGACAAAAGCTGTCATCACCCTGGAAAAAAACGGAAACCGGCACAACTACACGCTGCCGCCTGTGTGGCTCCGCGCCCTCGTGCGGCACGGACGCGTCGGCCCCGAAGCAGGGAAGAGGCGTGGTGTGCAGACACTCGCAGAAAAAGACTGGCACCACTGTGCTGCAGTCGGGTGGACGATTTCAAGGCAAGAATAACGGAAACTGAAGACCCCACCGTCGCTGTCGGGGACGCCCACACTCCTCCGTCAGGACGGACAGACCCAGCAGGCAGGAGGTCAGCAAGGACGTGGTCGAACTCAGCAGCCCCGCCAGCCAACCCCACGGAACCGGCACCTGCAGACCACGTCGTCCACCGGCAGCACATGACGCATTCTTCCCACGCTCCCACGGAACCTTCACCGAGACAGACCCCACTCTGGGCCATAAAGCAGCCGTAACACACTGAACGTAATCGAAACACACAGTTCCCGGAGCAGAGTGGAATTCATGCAGGGTTCAGCAACAGAGAGGCAGCCGGGGAATCCCGAAATACCTGGAGATTAAACAACACATTAAATAGCACGGGGCTGAAAGAAGAAACCTCAAGAGAAATTTTAAAGTATTTCGAACTACATGGAAATGAATCGTCAGAATCCGTGCAACACGGCAGAAGCCATGTTTGGGTGGGGTTTGCAGCGTTTAATGCATCTGTTAGGAAAGATCAGTAATCAATCTAAGCTTCTTCTACTCAGAACAAGAGAAAAACAGGAACAAACTAAACTCAAAGTAGGCAGAAGAAAAACAATGAAAATTAGAGCAGAAATTAATCCAGCTGGAAAGAGGAGATCAATAGAGAAAAACCAGTGAGACCGAAAACGGATTCTTCGCAAAGGTCAATACAACCAATGGGTCTCCAGCCAGCTCACCAGGCGCACGGGGAGAGGGCGCTCCGCGCGAACACGGGGTCGTCACCCTGTTCCGGTCGTCACCCTGTTGGGGTCGTCACCCTGTTCACCTCGAGCTTGAACAGAACGCCAGCCTCAAGGACGGCCTCGGCTGGGAACGAGGGGGCGCTCCGAGGCCGGAGGAGACGCGGGGCGCGGAGAGGGCGCCGGGGGCGCCCCATGGCGGCCCCCCCACTGCGGTTTAGCCGCGGTTTCCGGTTGCCCACGTTCTCGTGAAGGCGGTGCACTCACCGGGCGTGCAGAGACGAACGCACGGCTGCGTGTCGGTCACACCTCCGTGGGGAGAAAGGAGAGAGGACGCAGACGTCAGAAATGGAAGGCGGGTGCGCGCTCCCGCGGCGCGCGCGCGCTAGGGGTGGAGCGCACCACGCACACGGCGGAAGCGTGGCGTATTGTTGTCCGTGTTGTAATTCACGCTTCTGACGCGAGTTCCGGTGTGTGAACTGGTCGTCATGCGGATAGAGAGCGTGCAGCCGCGGCTGGTGTGGCTCCGAGGGCCGGCTGCCGCCCGTGGGGCCGCGGGTGTCCGATTCCCTCCCGGTCGGGGGGAGGGCCCCAGTGGGGGGCGCTCCAGAGGCACCCACGCACTGATGTTTCACTCCCTTTCTCCCCCCTCCCCCCTCTAAAAATAACAAATAAAATCTCTAAAAAGGAGAGTTCAGTTGTAAACAAACTACTGTGGCTGTTAAAAGGAGAAATAGAAGATGGGCATCACTACAGACCCCACGGACCTTAAGAAAAGATCAAAGGTACACGGTACACGACTTCTGTGTCCACGGATTTTCTGGGAACTGACAAACACTTCTAAAATATAGTAGACATGCAGAGGGCTTAAAACAGCCAAGGCCACTTCAGTGGGTTGTCACGCCCTGCATCCAGCAGCGTGGTGTTGGCTTGAAGGCAGGTGGTCCAAACAGCCGGGGCGGCCCCCCCACGCGGAAGGGGTCTGTAACCGCAGCTCCAAGGGCCTCCACCTGGGGAAGAAGAGTCCTTCCAATGGACAGCCAGGGGACACTCAGACACCCGTATTCAAAGCAGAAACTCGGACCTCCTCACACCGCAACCTAATGGGTGTGGTGAGGCGTCCTGTTTAATTTTAATCTTCGGGTGACTGGCCTTTGCCTCTCAGATTTCGGGTCTCCTCAGTGCTTACCCTTGGCCCATCTGTGTTCTGACTCAACAGGCATTCGTGTGTCTGTCTAAACACCCCCCCTCTGGACTCTTCAGTGCCGCGACACCTCCTCCCTGTGATCTGTCTTCCCCCTGTTAAGCCTGTGGCTGAGTCGAATTCTTCCCGGTGCCTGGAACTGAGCCCGAGGACGAGACACCGAGGACTCCAACCCACTGGGGACCATGCCGTTTGCAGAAAGCCGAGAGCAGGGTGCAGGGGGCCCAAGTGTCTGGCTGTCCCACGTTCCAGGCTCCGGGGACCGGAGCCGCTGTGGGCGTCCACCCCGGCGTGCGCCCGCGAAGGCAGACCCGCCCGAGCCGACCGCCGGTTCCGCGCAGCTGTGACCTGGCGTGTGGAGTTGCCTCCCACGCCGCTGTTTTCCCAGGGACTGCGCTGCCATGGACCCCGACGTGTGACCGTGTGTGAGACTATTTCCCGCCCTCAAACAACTCTATTTCTTTCTCCTCTGTTCTCTGTACTGAGTTGACTGGGGTGACACTGGTTCATACCATCACGTGTGTTCCGGGAGCACAGTCACACGGCACATCGGCCGTGTTCTGTGTCTACCACCCCCGGGCACGTCTCCTCCCACCCCACGTCCCCCCGGCCCCCATCCTGCCCCCCACCCCCTCCCCCCTGGGCACTGCCATGCTGCTGCCCGCGTCTGCGAGCACCAACCTGGGCTGTGACGGCTGAAACCCCTTCTGGCCCCAGCACCACGCGCAGACCGCAGAGCTGCACCACGCTGTGGGGGACGTGGGACGGCTTCCCTCCCTGCCGGCGCCGGCCGGCATCTCTGACCCCGGGAAACTGCTGTGCCTCTGCTGTGCGTGTGCTGTTCGCGACGCAGCGACCGCGGACACGGCACGCTTTCACGCCTGACGTGTGTCGTTGGCCTTTCCTCTGTCACTGTGTGAGGTCTGGCCTGGCAGTAAACACCCACAGTGCCTGCTGGTCCTCCCAGCGGTGCTGAGTTCAAGTGCAAGGCCGCGACGGCCTGGCCAGTGGAGCTGGGGCGCGCCAGGCGGCAGTGTGCTCCCCGCAGGTCCTGCCTCGCCCTGTCCGCCGTGGGCTCCTGAAAATGACCCCAAGTCCACTGGAGGCTAACTGGTAGGAACGAGAGTTATGTTCCAACCTGTAGATGCCAGTCCAGAGTCCTGGGGGGCCAGTCCTCCCGGACAGCTCGGAGTGATGGACAGGGTTGAGTAGGAGCTACCGAGTTGGGCGGTGGGGCTGCACGACGGACTCCGTAAGGTCAACCAGAGCCTGTAGTTTTTCGGAATAGTAGGGAGTAAGATGTTTCCAATCAAGGTCAGGCGTGGTAAATGGCTGGTAATAAACCACGGTTCGACCGGGTTGCTCCGTGCCATCCGGGCCCACGTGCGGTGCAGCCTGAGTCTCCCCGAGCAGTAGTCGCAGCCCCCAATGGCTGCACAATCGAGTGGCAACCGGAGAGGCCCGGGGAGCACCGGGTTCTGAAGGAGGCGGGGCATCTAAGGCTGGAGAGGGTTTCCTTGCTCCGAGAGCGTACGGGGGTGGAAGGGTCACCGGGACTTCTTCCTCCTCCGGGTCCCCCTTGAAAACAGGAGGTCCGCGTGCCTGGGCTACGAGCACTCGGGCGGGAGTCGTGCTTCGAGAGCCCCGGGTGCAGCGTGGCCGGCCCACCTTTCGTGGCCCCCCCTCCCCCGCGACGCCAGATGCCGTGACTGAATGCTTCACACAGCGCTGCAGCCACGCTGCGTGTCCCGCGCCAACTCCTGCCAGCGGCCGCGGTGAACAAACTGCTCGGGGTGACCTGGCCTGCCTGTGGCTACGAGATGGACCGCCCGGGCGATGCCTGGATTCAGGGTGCCTTCAGGGGGCCAGCCTACCCCCAAAGTCGGCCACTCGGATGAACAGAAAGTCTCTAACGGACCCGCACCCATGCCGGGGTCCTGGCCCCTGAACCGATCACAATTCTGTAACGCGCAGGCCAGCACTGCGGAAGAACCCCCTCCCCCATGACGAATCCTCCCGATCGGCGCCGACAGACAAGGGAAGGGCCTCTCGGGTCGCCCGTCTGGCCTCTCCTCTCGCGAGGGACTCGGGTCTGCCTTGGCTGAGGCTGCCCGGGCAGAATTCGGGTTCAACTCCCCGCCGTGATGCTGTAGGACAGACTGAGGAACCGCAGGTTAGGACTCACTCACGCTCCGCAGGCTTCCGCCCGTGGAGCAACAGACACAATCATCCACGCACACGCAGAGTTTATCACGTTGCCCCCCACCGCCCCGCCCCGAGCGGGGGAGCCCTACCTGGGCCTTCCGGCCTGAGAGCTGGCCAGTCTCTCCTCCCACCGCAAGGGTGGGCCTCGTCTCGGGCCCTGGTCCTCGGGGCACTTACCGGGCAGGCGCCTTCCCAGATCCCACCAGTCCGCACCCCGCCAGCCCGGGTCAAAGAGCGGTCGGGGGGCGAGCCAGCGGAGCCCGGGACGTCCGGGACCCGAAATCACCGGGGCGCGCGCCTCCTTTTCACCGCCGGGCCCCACCGGCTGCCCCACGGCCGCCTTCACCGGAGGCAACGGCCTGCTCGCGTGAGTCGTCTCCCGGTCAGGGAACCAAAATGTTGCAGAAAAGACGACTCAGACGGCCTCGGAGTTTGCGAAGGGGAGTTTATTCGCGCACGGGGGCCCAGAGGGGGCGGTCTCCAAATCCCGGGCCCCGAGCTCCGGCTGGGGCTCGCTCCCGGTCCCGCTGCACGGGCGGCAGCGGGAGAGGGGCGGAGCGCGGTCCAGGCGGGAGGCGGCGTACAGAAGCAGAACGCGGGGGCTAGCGCGCCCCCTGGAGGCGACTGCCAGTAGGAACGGCTGCCGCTCAGTTGCGTCCGGTCACCAAGGGGAGAAAACGGGGCCGCCCCTGGCTCTCGTGGACGCACGTGCCCCTTAGGGCCCTTCTGACCTTGAAACGCTCTCCAGTGGCGGCGCCGCCGCCGGCGCCCCGACCGCGCCGAGACCTACGCCCGCCGGCGCGCGCTCGAGCCGAACGGCTCCACGGCCCCCTCCTGACGTCACGTTCCGCAGCGTCCCTAGAGCCGGCCGTGGCCGCCGCCATGTTACGTTACGGCTCCTAGCCGAGGCCCCGCCCCGCCGCAACGTCCCTGCTGACGCCCAAGCGGGCGCCGCCATGTTGGGGGTCCTCGCGGCGGGCGCGTAGGTGTCTTCATAAGATGCCGGCTCGGCGGCGGCGCTCGGCTTTTTCCCCCTCAAGATGGCGTCCATGCGGGAGAGCGACACGGGCCTGTGGCTGCACAACAAGCTGGGGGCCACGGACGAGCTCTGGGCGCCGCCCAGCATCGCGTCCCTGCTCACGCCCGCGGTCATCGACAACATCCGCCTCTGCTTCCACGGCCTCTCGTCGGCCGTGAAGCTCAAGCTGCTGCTCGGGACGCTGCACCTCCCGCGCCGCACGGTGGACGAGGTAAGGCGGGCGGCGGTGCGCGGCGCGGGGCCGGCCTCCCGTAACCGGGCCCAGACCCGGAGCCCCCCGCAGCCCCTCGGCCCCCACCGGGCCCCCTTCTCGGGGAGGGGAGGCGGCGCCCGTCAGCTGTGGGCGTGGGGCTACAGGCGGCGAGGATAGACGCGGGCACCTGCTCGCACCGGGCTCGCTGGGGCGAGCTGAGGTTCCGGCGTGGGGAGCGGGGCGGGCCGGGCCGTGCGGGGCCCCAGGCTCCGCGGGACTTCCCAGCGGCCGCGCCGCGCACCGGCGCAGGTGCAGGCCCCGCGCCCCGCCGGCCCTCTCCGCACGCCCGCGTCCTGCTCCAGGGTTGGGGGCGTCGGTGCGTTTCCCCGGCGGTGCGTTCTGCTGTTTTCGGGCGAAGTGAACGGTCGTTCGTCAGAGTGTTGGGGCCACTGTCGGTGGAGCGTCCCCAGCTACGCCGCGGCCGCGACCACGGAGTCGTCGTTCACAGCTGTTTGTGTTGTGGAGTGTGACGTCCGCAGCGGCGCCAGCGAGGCCCTGGGACCCGCTCGCCGGAAGGCGGCCGCTCTGCCTGCGGGTCCCGGCCTTCCCGCCCCTCCCCCCTCCCCAACGCGCCCTTCGGTGTGATCTTATCGGCGGCGCGGGCGGTCCTCCGCTGCACAGCGGGTCCCGGTGGTGTCGTGGCCTGAGCACTGTGCGCGCGCGGCTGCGCGCATCGTGGGCGTGCGTGTGTGTGCATCGCGCGTGCGTGCGGCGTGGGTGCTCGGCTTTCTCGCGGCCGACGCCTGGACGGTCGTGCCCGCCCCCGAGTACGCCGCCGCGTCCTCGCGGGCGGACACCGGGGCCGGCCAGCCGCTGCTGCTGGGAGTCCCGCTGTGGCCAGCAGCGCGGCGCTCGGCTCGGCCGTCTGTGGCGGTGGTAGGGGGCTGATGGCTTTGCGCCGGGTTGTTTTTCCAGGTGGTTTATCCGATTAGGCTCCTCCCCCCAGCTCGCCCGTCGGCGTTCAGCGGGCTCTGTTTGTTTTCCAGAGGACCTGCCCCGTTTCTCACGGGGTGGGGCCGATCTGCACCGTTCTGTGGGTTTCGGCGCGCCGCGGACCGACCGGGTGTGTGGGTGTGTTCTGAAATGCTCACCGCGGCGTCTCCCTCACACTCTCTCCACGCGCAGTTACAGAAATTGGGGGGCGGGGTGGAGTTTAAGATTTATTAACTGCAGGCGCCAGGTGCCTGCTTCCCATGTCATCCCAGCATCCCTTCGTGTGTTCATTCACCGTTGGAGGATCTTTTTTTGTGAATTGGCTGTTCGGGTCTTTTTGTTTCTGGTGGTTGTTGTTGAATTGTCTATTCGGACCTTTTGTTTCTGGTGGTTGTTGATTGTTCGGGTCTTTTGTTTCTGGTTGTTGTTGAATTGATTGTTCGGATCTTTTGTTTCTGGTTGTTGAATTGGCTGTTGGGGTCTTTTGTTTCTGGTGGTTGTTGTTGAACTGTCTGTTCGGGTCTTTTGTTTCTGGTTGTTGTTGAACTGTCTGTTCGGGTCTTTTGTTTCTGGTTGTTGAACTGTCTGTTCGGGTCTTTTGTTTCTGGTGGTTGTTGAATTGTCTATTCGGACCTTTTGTTTCTGGTGGTTGTTGAATTGATTGTTCGGATCTTTTGTTTCTGGTTGTTGAATTGGCTGTTGGGGTCTTTTGTTTCTGGTGGTTGTTGAATTGTCTGTTCGGGTCTTTTGTTTCTGGTTGTTGTTGAATTGTCTATTCGGACCTTTTGTTTCTGGTGGTTGTTGATTGTTCGGGTCTTTTGTTTCTGGTTGTTGTTGAATTGATTGTTCGGATCTTTTGTTTCTGGTTGTTGAATTGTCTGTTCGGGGTCTTTTGTTTCTGGTGGTTGTTGAATAGACTGTTCAGATCTTTTGTTTCTGGTTGTTGAATAGACTGTTCGGATCTTTTGTTTCTGGTGGTTGTTGTTGAACTGTCTATTTGGACCTTTTGTTTCTGGTGGTTGTTGATTGTTCGGGTCTTTTGTTTCTGGTTGAATTGGCTTTTGATTTCTGGTGGTTGTTGAATTGTCTGTTCGGGTCTTTTGTTTCTGGTTGTTGAATTGTCTGTTCGGACCTTTTGTTTCTGGTTGTTGAATTGGCTGTTGGGGTCTTTTGTTTCTGGTGGTTGTTGAATTGTCTGTTCGGACCTTTTGTTTCTGGTGGTTGTTGATTGTTCGGGTCTTTTGTTTCTGGTGGTTGTTGAATTGTCTGTTCGGGTCTTTTGTTTCTGGTGGTTGTTGATTGTTGGGGTCTTTTGTTTCTGATTGTTGTTGAATTGTCTGCTCGGATCTTTTGCTTTTCTGGTTGTTGTTGTCATCGTCGTTGTCGCTCGGTAGGGGGTGTGTAAAAATTGAGGCTGGGTAGCTGTGCTGTCTCAGTTGCATGTGTTACAGGTGCCGTGCAGCGCGGCTGCTTTGGGGTAGGGGGGCCTCACACCCTCGCTCCCACCTGGAGTGAGTGGCTGACCGTGTGGAGCTGGGGTCTGGTCCTGTCCGTACAGATGTCTCGGCAGCCTGGCACCGTTCATTTACTGAGGCCACTGTCTCCATGCTCCCGAGGGGACTGCTGATCTGCACTGTCACCGGGGCCAGGGGGTCTATCTGGGCTCCACCCTGCTGTCCAGGGGCAGATCGGGCACCGGGAGCCCACTGGGTCCTGGCGCTGCTACCCCATGCCTCAGCGCAGGCCGCTGAGAGGCACGCCCCCCACCTCCTCCAGAAGGAGCCCCGGCCCTCGTCCCGGCTTATGTGCGCACCTACCCACGTGCAGCCAGGGGTGCTCCTCCAGGCCGAGCTGGATTTATGGTTCATTCTGGGGGGAAATCACTTCAGTGTTGAGTCTGATGAGTCGTGGATGCGGGCATCTCTCTCTACTTAGATCTTCTCTAACGTGTGTTATAAAGTTGCACGGTTTTCTCCGCAGAGGTCCTCCACCTTCTGCCAGGCAAGTGTCTGGACACTTCACATTTTCTCGTGCTGTTACAGACACACTAGAGTTTTCTTTTCTTTCCTTTTTAAAAATATGTTATTTATTTTTAGGGAGGGAGAAAGGAGAGAAACATCAATGTGTGGATGCCTCTCGCTCGCCCCCTACTGGGGGCCTGGCCCGCAACCCAGGCCTGTGTCCCGACTGGGAATCGAACTGGTGACCCTTTGGTTCACAGGCCGGTGCTCAGTCCACCAAGCCACACCAGCCAGGGCGAGAACTTTTTATTTATTTATTTTTTGGGATGAGTCTGTGAACAGCATCTGTGCTGAAGTGTTACTAATAGTAATTATTTTGCTGCAGAATCTTTATTTTTCTGTGTGCTCTCTGTCCCTGTTTCTCTTCTGCGCGCACACACACCCCTGCCCCACCCCCACGTGGCGTCTGGTTTCTGATCACACGGGAAGAACTTTCAGTGTTTGGTTCCCTGCTGTTCTCTGTTCCCTGGCCAGGGAGGGTCTCTTGTACTTCTAGGTTTTTCAAGAGTTATTTTAATCGTGAATGAGCTTCCGTAGCTCTGTTGAAATGTAACTCAAGTACCATATGCTTCACCCACTTAATACCCTCCTCGTCAATTGTAGAACATCTTCATCAACTCGGAAATAAACCCTGTGCCAATCAGCAGGCTCCCCCACACCTCCTGGGCCTGTGGACTTGGCTGTTCCAGAAGTTTCCTTCTAAATGCAGTTGGGTGGCTTGTGGCCTTGGGTGGCCGGCTGCCTTCCCTCTGCAGAGCGTTTTCCGCTCACCCACTGAGCCCCACCGGCCAGGGCAGACAGCCGCAGTCTTGAAAAATAAATAAATGGCCCTGGCTGGCGTAGCTCAGTGGATGGAGCGCGGGCTGTGAACCAAAGCATCGCAGGTTCAATTCCCAGTCAGGGCACAGGCCTGGGTTGCAGGCCAGGTCCCTGGTGGGGGGCCACGTGAGAGGCAACCACACACTGATGTTTCTCTCTCTTTCCCCCTCCCTTCCCCCTCTCAAATAAATAAATAAATCTTTTTTTTTAAAAGATAGGGGTTGCTACTTTCTTCCTAAAAAATAAATAGGTAAACTAAATAAGTGAAAACAAAGGCGCTCGGCCGCGCCGGCTGCGGGGCTCCTTTCCGCACTGCCCGGCGGGGCTGCGGTGGGGCAGCGGCGCCCCTTGGAGGAGGGGCCACTGGCCCCTGGGTGGGGCGGGCCCCCCCAGGACGCGTCTCTCTCTCCCTCCGGGCAGATGAAGGGTGCCCTGACCGAGATCATCCAGCTGGCCACCCTGGACTCGGACCCCTGGGTGCTCATGGTCGCCGACATCCTCAAGTCCTTTCCAGACACGGGCTCACTTAACCTTGACCTCGAGGAGCAGAATCCCAACGTTCAAGATATTTTAGGAGAACTTAGAGAAAAGGGTACGTGTGTGGGTTTGTGCGGGGGGGGGGATGGCTTCCAAAGAAAAGTCGTCTTTTCTAAAAAGAATCTGGCTTTCGGGGTGCCGCGCTGGGGACTAGCCGATTTTAGGGCATTGTGGAAGGGTAGAAGGGTTTTAGAACCACAGCGCGCCCGCGCGCCCCCACCCCTGCGCCTGTCTGTCCACGCACCTCTCGTGTCCCTGCGCACTCTCCCCAATCAGCCGTGCGCCGCCCCCCCCCGCCAGCCTGTCCAGCGCGGCTCCGAGGCCCGGACCACCGCGCACGCGCAGACAGCTCCAGCAGCTCCGTCCTTCCGGGCGGGAACCGAAAACCGCTTAGGAAACGCAAACGTCCGAGGGCGCCTGCGCAGGCGCAGCGCACGGCTGCTCCCGGGCCCCGCCCGGCTTGGGGGGGATGGGGGCCGGCAGCCCCCGGCTGCGGAGGCCGCGTCGCCGGGAGCCGGGCCGTGGGTCCCCGCCCCGTGGGTGTAGCGGGCCCGTGGGTGTAGCGGGCCCGCCGCGCGCCGGGGGAGGGGGACGCGCCCCCTGACCGCGTGCCGCTTCTCGAACGGACAGTGACCGAGTGCGAGGCGTCCGCCATGCTGCCGCTGGAGTGCCGGTACCTGAACAAGAGCGCCCTGACCACCCTGGCCGGCCCCCTGACCCCGCCGGTGAAGCACTTCCAGCTGAAGAGGAAGCCCAAGAGCGCCACGCTGAGGGCCGAGCTGCTGCAGAAGTGTGAGTGCGGCCGGCCGGCCGGGCCTGCCCTGCCCGGTCCGGGCCTTCGGCCTCGGGCCGCGTCCGGGTTCGCGGGGCCCGAGCTGTGCGTCGACGACAAGGAAGGCCCTACGCGAAGTTTTGGGTTTTTTTTTTCTCGAAACGTTACTGCTGTGCTGAACTGCGTTCTAAAAGTCTGTTTTACAAGCTCCAGAGTTTTCTGGGTGAAGTGTCTGTGATCTCTGTTATAGAACTGAACGGGTACCGACCGAGTCACCCTGGCCGAGAGCCGGGCCCGCGGAGGCCGGCCCTGCCCCCGAGCTCCGCCCGCGCCTGGGTCCCGGGCCGGCCGCAGAGACACCGGGCCGCTGCTCAGCGTCCTCTCGGACCGCGGCGTCGGCCCGAGTGTGGGGGGCTGCCAGGGAAGGCAGGGGGAGACCCCCACGGCCAGACTGCAGTGAGCCCGCCGTGTGCGGCCACGGGGCGGGCATTAGTGACGGAGAACGGCCTGTGTCCATGGGATCTGTGTGAACCCAGCCGGGTCCCGGGGCCAGAGCAGCTCCGGCTCCCCAGAGCTGGCGGGGCGCAGGCGGCGGGGGGCAGGGCTCTGGCCCTCCCCGAGTCCTTTCTCGAGCTCCCGCACCCGTGTGGGTGGACGCCAGGGCTGCCCATGCCCACTGGGCCTCACACGGGGCCGTCAGAGCGCCGGGACCCCGGGCCGCGCCGCCCACGGCTCCACTCCGTGCGCAGAACACGCGGCCGGGGCGTCCGAGCTCACCGCAGGCCCGCTGGGAGGGCAGACGCTGCGTCTGCAGGGACACACCTCTCTTCGGGCCGGATGCTCGGGGGCCGGACTCACGGGCAGCAGGGGCGTGGAGCCCTTTTGGGGTGCGCTGACACGCACCGCCTTCTCCTTGCAGCCACCGAGACCGCCCAGCAGCTGAAGAGGAGCGCGGGCGTGCCCTTCCACGCCAAGGGCCGGGGGCTGCTCCGCAAGATGGACACCACAAGTAAGGCCGCCTGCCCCTCCCCGGATCGCCCCCGGAGCCGCAGGGCTTCTGGGCTGCCGGGCGGGCGTGGGGCCCGGAGCTCCCTGCACCTGTCCGTCCCGCGGGTCCAGCCCGGACGTGGAGCGGCTTTTCCCTGGGGGTCAAGGGGGAGCCTCCAGAGCCGCCGGCGAGCAGAGCTGCTGCGGGCAGAGCACGGGGCTGGCCCCGGAGGGCGCACGGCCCCCAGGGGCTGAGGGGGCGCGGTGGCACCTCAGCCCTCGTCAGCGGTTCGTCCCAGAACGTGCGGCAAGCGCAGAGTCCGAGGGCCGGGTGGCGCCGCGTCGTCCTCTGTGGCGGGATTCCTGCAGGTCCCAGCGCGTGCAGGGAGGCCCGGGCGGGGGCTGGGACGTGTCTCTCTCGTCACACGGGGCGAGCACAGGGTCTGACAACCTCTGAGGCCGACGGGCCCGCAGTGCTGCTCCCTCGTGGCAGGGCTGTGCCCCCCCCCCCCCCCCCCCCCCGCTGCTGCTGCCCTCCGCCGCCACTCCATGCTGGCGGGAGCGGAGGGCAGTGCCTGGGAGCCAGTGGTCCCCCTCGTCCTCCTAGGCCCGCTCCTCCCTCGGGGTCAGGGGCACAGAGCCCTGAGCGCACGGCCCAAGCAGTTCAGAAGACGGGGTGCCCTGCAGCTTCCCTCCGGGTGGCCCGGGCAAGAGCCCAGACAGGAGGGCGGCCGTACTCCTGCTTCCTGTCGCCATGGTGCCCCCCGCCCCGAGGCCAGGGCCCAGCACCCAGCCGGAAGACGGGGCACCCTGCTGGGAGCCACAGGCCAGCAAGACGCGGGAGCCCAGGGGAGGCCTCGGGCCACGCTCTGCTCCGGTCACCTGCTGTCTGCCACCTGCGGGCCCCCGGTCGGGACCTGTGGGCTGGGACCTGGTGTCTGGGGGCCAGCTGGCTCGCCCCGTGCGAGGGGTGGGCCCCGGCCCCGGCCCCGTCGGCTGTGCCGCGAGCACCGGGGCGGGTGGCTCCTGGGCTGTGTTTTTGTTCAGTGTGTTTTGGCAAGAATGTCTCAGATTGACGGTGATGTCTTTGCCTGCCAAGGCCTTGTTTTGGGTGGGCCGGCCCTCACTCCCCGAGGACGGGCGCAGGGGACCCGGGGTGTCCCCTCCAGGAGGTGTGGCCAGTCTGTGGGGTCGGGAGGAGGGGGGGGTGCGCCTCTTCCCGCAGAGGGGCCTCCGCCCCAGGAGGGGAGCGAGGACGCACGAGGCGGGAGGCCGGCCGTCTGCTGGCCGTGGCCGCTGACGGGCGCCGTCCTGCCCCGCCCCAGCCCCGCTCAAGGGCATCCCGAAGCAGGCGCCCTTCCGGAGCCCCGCCGCGCCCAGCGTCTTCAGCCCCGCCGGGAACCGGACCCCCGTCCCGCCCTCGAGGACGCCGCTGCGCAAGGAGAGGGGCGTGAAGGTGGGCACAGCCCCTTGGCCATCCGCGGGGGGCCCCCCCCAATAGTGCTGCGGGCCTCGTGCCGTAGTGACGGGGGGGCTGCTGTTTGTCTATCTTGGCAGCTGCTGGACATCTCTGAGCTGGACATGGTCGGTGCCGGCCGAGAGGCGAAGAGGAGGAGGAAGACGCTGGGTGGGTGCCGGGCTCCCGGCAGGGTCTGCGGGGCGGTGCCCCCCGGAGCCGTCCTCTGCGCCCGGCGCCAGGGCAGGGGAGGGCAGGCTCGGGCAGCGTCGAGGGACGGGCGTGCTGAGCCCGCCCGACGGGGGCCGCCAGGGGCGCTGACCAGGCTCTGCCAGCAGATACGGAGGTGGTGGAGAAGCCAGCCAAGGAGGAGACGGTCATTGAGAACGCCACGCCTGACTACGCGGCCGGCCTGGTGTCCACGCAGGTAGGGCCTCGGTGCAGCCTGGCTCCTCCCTCTGCTCCCGGTTCTCAGCCGCCAGAAGGCGTCGCAGAGAACGCGCATGTGCGTGCGTGTAGCATGCACGAACACGAGGGGCAGCCGGCCGGGGCCCCCCGCCGGGGCGAGAGGGTGAGGGGGACCGCGGCGCGGCCCTGACGCCCACTGCAAGCAGCTCGCAGCCGGGGCCGTCTCCCTGGCGTGCGCGCAGTGGGAAGAGCCCGGCGGTGCTCCCTCCTCCCCTCGACCGGACAGGAGCCGTGCTCCGCTCGGGCAGGCCCGGGGTGGGGGGCCGTGCCGGGCGGAGGCCTTGTGGCCAGGAGCAGCCCGGGGTAGGGGGCGCCGAGGCCCGTGTCCGCAGTGCTGCCCGCTCAGCCCCCGTGGGGGGCGGCGCCGGGACCCAGGCCTCTCCCTGCACCGTCCTCCAGAAACTCGGGGCTCTGAACAGCGAGCCGGCGCTGCCCTCCACGAGCTACCTGCCCGCCACCCCCAGCGTGGTCCCAGCCTCGTCCTACATCCCCAGCTCTGAGGCCCCGGCAGGTGAGCGGGCAGCAGGGCAGCACGGCGTGCTGGCCTTCCTTCCCGAGGGGCCCCCGCCCGCTGCTCCCTCGGGTGTCGGGGAGGGTCCCGTGTGGTCCTCCGGCCCTGCTGGTGCTGGCTGGGGGCACGGGCCGAGAAACAAGCCCCGTTTTCCCGGCTCCGCCTTTCCCAGGGCAGCAGGCAGCGGCCCCGTGTCCAGCCCAATAGCACTGACTCCAGCTTTGGTGTGGGAAGGGGCCCAAGGTGACAGCACCTGGGGGCTCAGGAGTGCCCCCCGCGGCCCTGGAATCAGGGAAGGAGGTGTCAGAAGGACTGGCCTGGGCTGGACCAGCAGGTCCTGCCCTGCGGTGTCCATTTGGTGGGGTCAGCTTTTTCTGCCAGGAGTTGGGCCCCAAAGTGGGCAGACCCTGGACATCGCGTCTGCCCCCCTGGAAAGGCCAGAGACCTGGGGCTCCCGGGTGGGGCTCTGGGCCGGGGGGCCTTCTGAGGGCCCAGGGCCTCGAGGAGCTGAGGTCTCGGGACAGACGGCTGCGACAGCTGCTGGTGCTTGGGCTGGGGGGTGGCGCAGAGCCCGCCCCCTCGGGCCAGGCGAGGTGGGGCCTGGCACAGAGCCCCATGGGGAGGGACGTCCGGGTCCTGCCCGCCGAGCCGGCCCTGCTCTGCTTCCAGCCCCGCCTTCCCGGGAAGCCAGCCTGCAGGCCAGCCGGCCCCCCGACGAGCCCAGCGCCCCAGCCCCCGGCCTGCCGGCTCAGTTCAAGCAGCGCGCACCTATGTACAACAGCGGCTTGAGCCCGGCCACGCCCACACCTGCGCCTGCTGCACCTGCCTCGCCCCTGACGCCCACCACACCCCCCGCCGCCACGCCTGCTGCCCAGGCTCCGCCAGTGGCCATGGTGGCCCCACAGGCCCAGCCCCCTGCCCAGCCGCAACCCAAGAAGAACCTGTCCCTCACGGTAGGTGTGCCCTGGGAGGCCGCAGGCCACCAGGCAGGTGCTGTGGCCTCGCCCCTCTGCCCCTACAGCCTGGGTTCCCAGGGGTCCCTGCCTGGGCCTTGCAAGAGGGGGATGCTGGTGGGCGGGGGGGGGGGGGCCAGCAGCCCCCCCCCGGCCCTCACCCCTGCCCGCATCTGCAGAGGGAGCAGATGTTTGCCGCGCAGGAGATGTTCAAGACGGCCAACAAGGTTACGCGGCCCGAGAAGGCCCTCATCCTGGGCTTCATGGCGGGCTCCCGAGGTGGGTCCACGGGGCTGGCCGGCGCGGGGCGGGGGGCTGGGGCCCGGTGGGGTGGGGGGCCGGGCGGCGTGGCCACGACCCCCGCCCAGAGCCCGCCGCTCCGCAGAGAACCCGTGCCAGGAGCAGGGCGACGTGATCCAGATCAAGCTCAGCGAGCACACGGAGGACCTGCCCAAGGCAGACGGCCAGGGCAGCACCACCATGCTGGTGGACACCGTGTTCGAGATGAACTACGCCACGGGCCAGTGGACGCGCTTCAAGAAGTACAAGCCCATGGCCAACGTGTCCTAGGGGCCGCCGCCCGCCACCGCGGGCCGGGCGCAGGCTCCGGGGGTGGGGTCCCGCGGCGCCCCCCAGGGCCCACTCAGGCTTCAGGTTCCGTCCTCGGGGGTGTCCTGGACTGGTTTTTAGATTTTAACATGGGTTACTTTTTGTGTGATCTGAGACGCTTTTTTGGATTCAATACTACATTTTTGAATGTTAAAGTTAACCAAAAAAGTTAAACTTCCTAATTTTAGTGACAGTTTTGCCTGTTGGACTTTTACCTTTTTTATTTTTCTTAAATTCCACTGGCCGTGGGGAGGGGCTTCCCCGCCCCCGAGGCCGAGGGGACCAAACACGCCGGGTGGGCGGAGAACGGCGTGGGGGCGCCACCCGGGGCTCAGCCCCGCTCCCCACCGCGCGTTGCCGTTTGCCTCCTGGACGGCCGTGAGCACTGGCGCCCATGAGCACTGGCGCCCGGGCCTCCGCCGCAGAGGGCCAGCTCGGCCTCGGGGGCGGGGCGGCGGCGGCGGCACCCCCCTCCTGACCACCTCGCCTTCAATGGGGATTTGGAACCAACCTATTTTTAAAATTAAAAAGACGGTTTTCCAAAACCAGAACTGCACTCACTGTGTCCAGCCCTCGGCACCGCTCCCCAAGGGTCACAGGCAGAGCGGCCGTCGGGGGCGGGGGCCCTCCCCGTGCGCGGCGTCAGCAGTGCCGGGCGGCTCACGGTGCCTGGGGGCACTGCAAACGCAGTCCCACAGAAAACAGGTGCGAGGAAGGAGCCTTTAACAATGTTTTAATATAAAAATACACAGTTTCCCAGACAACGTCCCACTTGAAGTGGTGTCTCCCCCCAGCGTCGGTGGCTCCCAGGTCCACACTTCGGCGTACCCCCCACCCCAGAAGTGAGCTCACGCTCCCCAGTCTGCCGGAACTGGGGGCGGCACCCAGGCTCCCTGAGAGGGGCCTGGCCGCCTGGGGCACCGAGTTCAGGCACCGGCCGGCAGGGGGACGCCCACGGCTGGCCGTGGGGAGGGCGTGGCAGACACTGCACTCGCGTTCACCAGCATGTGCGCCGGGGGGCCGGGGGGCCGCTGGGGCGGGTGGGCGCCGCGGACTGCAGCCACTGGGATAACACTTAACGGGCGCCAGAAGCACAGACCTGAGTGGGGGGGGGGTGGGGGGGGCCTGGGAACGAGGGCGGCTCCTCCAAGCACGGGCGGGCCTCACGGGGCACCACGGATGCCGCGCTGGCTCCCCCGTGGCGGCCACGGGCCGCACCTGCCTTCCCTAGCCAGGGCTGGCACGGCGGGTGTGACCACACACGTGGGCACAGGCTCCTGACCCCAAGGAACCCTGAGGTTCGGGGCAGTTCTCTCGTTTCTGCTTCACGAGAGTGACAGCAGGCTGAGGCGGCAGCTTGGAGGGCGGCCCCCGCACCCGCCGGCCGGGGAGCTTGGTGCAGCTCGAGATCCGTAAACTGGTTTCCTAGAGACGTTCACAGTTCGTGTTATTTGCTCATTAACGTAACGGAGTTTGAAGAGAGAGCAACCATACTGAAAATGCTTTTTCTACTGTTTTCCTTCAGAAAGATCGTTTAAAAATTTGGAGATCTCAAAGCGACTAAAAGTCACAAGATTTTACTACTGTCAAACACAAAAATAGGCCGGTCGGTCTGCTCCCCGAAGTGCACTGCAAAGCCCACTCTGGTGGTGTGGCTAGCACAGACGTCCTCAGCTGGTTCGAGAGGACGAGAGGGGCCCTGGCCGGTGCGGCTCAGTGGGCTGAGCACGGGCCTGCGAACCAAAGGGCCGCCAGTTTGATTCCCAGTCAGGGCACAGGCCTGGGTTGTGGGCCGGTCCCCAGAGGGGGACACATGAGAGGCGACCACACACTGATGTTCCTCTCTTTAAAAAAAAAAAAAAAGTGGGGCCCCTGGCCCACAGCGGGGCCCCACCCACAGCAGCTGTGACCCCGAGGGCCCTGGGTGCCACCTGTGTCCACATCGCGGACACAGGTGCGTGGACGCCTGCATCCAGGCCCTGGGGCCCGTCCCAGCTGAGGACACGAGGAGTGGCCGCCTGCATGTCAAGCCAGTGTCCCCCCAGGACAACTGTCCCCTCGGGCAGAGGCATTTCCAGGCGGACGGGGCCGCGCCTGGGAGCAGTCGGCACGTGGCAGCTCTTGGCTCTCCCTGCTGGCTCCCCGTGTGTCTGCGCTGTCGGGGGGTGTGGACGAAGGGAGGGCCAGGGGGACGTTTGCAGCCTGTAGACGCTATCCCCGCCGGGCCATGTCACAAACCCACTGAGCGGAGGAGACCGTCCGGCCGTCTAAGGCCCAACGGCCCGAGAGAGACGGACAGGAGACCTCCGCAGCGGCGCCCGAGAGCAGCGGTGGGGACTTCTCTGCAGAACGGATGTCCTCCTCGTGTGGTTTTAGGAAGAGAAGGTCGGAAAACAGGAGTCTGCTGCCAGCGGCCCCCCACCCTTTGCACAGAGGGACAGGCAGGTCTCCCTTAGCGCACGCAGCACACGTGGGTGCCGGTGGGGAGCTCTCCCCTCTTTAGGGGGCTCTGAACTTCCCGGGGTCGAGAGGAACCCTGGAAAAGGAGAATCACATCTTCCACAGAGAACTTAGTACTTTCTAGAAGTTCCTCACCCCCTGGGGGCCTCACCCCCAGCGGCCTTGCGGGCAGGTGCTGCCCTGGCTGAGCACGTCCGGCCAGCGCACCTGTTCTCCGCGGACAGGCCCACACGGCGTGAGGAAGGGCACGCGAGCCCAGGCGGCCAGTTCCGGCCCCCGGGTCTCCGCCCGGCCCGGGGAGAGCACTCGGCGGGCGTCCGAGGCGACGCCTGCGGGGAGGGGAGGACTCGGGCGCATCAGTAAATACACAGCTCAATCAGTGGTAATCGTGAAACAAGTTTAGCAAAAATATATTGAGAGTAAAGGCAAGAAATCACTAAAGAAAAGTCGAATGACAAAGTACACAGTCCTTCCCCGGGGGCTGGCCGGAGCCCAGGGTGGTGGGAGGCAGCCCCGGCGGTAGCTCTCGGCTCACAGCTCACAGCTACGGAGAAGCACCGACTCGAGAAACCTTAAACTACTACCGCTGTCACCACTGCCGGCACAGCGTCTCACTACGGTGAAAGAGGAACGTTTTGAGGAAAAATTTCACATTAGTACAAAAAATACAGCTGTTTCATAAAAGCAAAAATAATGATCAAAATCACGGCTTCCAGGGGATGCGGGGTCCGAGCTGCCCCCCGAGGCGAGCCCGCCGGGGCCCCCTGAGGACCGGGGGAAGCAGGCCGGGATCCCCCCCGCTGTACGAGAACAAGCTACTCTACGCGCCTCGGGCAGGATGAAACCATTTCATGTGCCAGGAAATTCCGATCGTAACTGGGACCTAAAAGTCAGGGGAGGGAGCCTCGGCCCTCCCCGCAATTCAAGTGCGGCCCTAATGCTGTGTGGCAGGCGTGCGTCGCCCCGCCCCCGAGCGCACGGCAGGGAGCGGTCAGTGCAGAGGCGGCGGCGCCGCTGGTGGCTCAGTGGTGGCAGGCGCGCCCCCGGGGGGCCGAGGGGGCCGTCCCCGTCCCCGCGGAGGTGCCCTGGGCCCCGCCAGGCCCGCCCGTGGCAGGCGGCCCCTGACCCAGTCGGGCCCCCCGAGCTATTTGCCTTCCGTGGCCCTGCGCCACCGCCGCCGCCGCCGCCGCCCCTTGGGCTTCGCGGGCTCCGGGCAGGGCTCCGCGGCCGGGGCGCGGGCGGCGCACTCCGCGCCCGGGTCGTGCTCACTGCAGCGGGGCCGCCCGTCCTGGGTGGTGCTGATGGCTGTCCCGTCCTGGTGCTCCTTGCAGAACGAATTGGGGCAGAAGTGGCAAAACCAGGCGGAGGGCCTGCCACACACGTCGCAGTGGTGCCACGGGCACACCCACTTCCCTGCAGGGAGACGGGCGGGTCAGCCAGCGGGGCCCGGCCGGGGGGGGGGGGATGCAGGCTCTGCGTCCACCCCCAAGGGCCCTCCGTCAGCGGGGGAGGGCGCCGCGCCCCCTGCAGACACCTCTCCGGACGCCTGCCTGCTCACCTGGCCGCGTCACCTGCCACTGCCCAACACGCACCTGTCTCACCACCGTGTCCGACCGCCCCTCACGGGGCTCCCTCGCCCACCGCTGCACCCAGGGGGTCCCCCCCAGGCCCCGGTCCTCCCTGCCCGCGGCCGGGGCCGGGACTCACCGAAGGGCCGCTTGCGCAGGCCCAGGCAGGCCAGGTGGTAGGCCTTGGCGCAGGCCCGGCGGTCACACAGCACCAGCTGGCCGCCGTCGCCGCAGCGGAAGCACTCGTCCTCCGAGGGCTTCTTCCCGTCCCCGCGGGGCCGGCGCCGCCGGCCTCTCTTCTTGGCCTTCCTGCCCTTCTCCTCGGACGCGAGCGCCGTCGAGGTCTGGAACGGAGAGTGGAGCCCGGGTCACGGGAAAGGCCGTGGGCGGAAGCCATGCTCCCGTGGGAACGTGGACGCCGGCGGGGGGGACCCTAACCACGGCTGCCCCAACCGCTTCCTCACGGGGAGACGGTCGAACCCAGAAAGCAAAACAGGCACATACCCCTCCCGGCAGCCGGAGAGCCCGGGCGCCCAGACCTGCCAGTGGGCACGTGGGCCAAGGACACTGGGGCTCCCGCCCTCGAGGGGCCGAGCTGAGCACGGGCGGAGAGGCTGAGAGGAGCGGTGGCCCCAGCGGCGGAGGCCTGACCGCGTGTCCCCCAGACCCGCCCTTCCCGCAGTGTTGGAGCGCGGCCCCACCGGGAGGCAGTCCCTGCAGCTGTGCCTGAGTAGGGGTGCAGTCGCACCACAGCAGGGGCCACGGACCCAGCGGGCTGGGGTCCTCGGTGGAACAGGCAGACGCAGGTGAGGCCCCGGGCGGGCCCTGAAGCTGCAGCGCCCCAGACCCTCCTACAGCCCAGTGCGGCCGTGGCCCTGACCACACCGCCCCGGGGCTCTGGCCCTCGGCTGGGACAGACGACGGCTGTGGGGACTCTGCCGGGCAGCCCCGCGACGCCAGGCCCACAAGGGACTCAGCTGGGTCACGGCCGGAGGTGCAGGGCCTTGTGGCTGGCTGTGACCGCATCCTGTCCGTCCGGCCCCAGCCGGCCGGGCGGGAGGCCCAGCAGGGCCGTGCCTGGGGGCGGGGGCTCACCTTGGGCCGGTCCCCCAGGAACCCGCTGCAGTTGGGGGCCCCGCAGCGGCACACGGTCTTCTCGTTGCCCAGGCAGTCCAGGTTGTAGTTGAAGGTCAGCTCCGTCCCTGGGGAGAGCAGACACGCCGGGTGGGGACCCCCACGGCTGTGCGGGCGCTCCCCCTCCCCCAGCGCCTCCCGCCCCGGCCAGAGCCCGGGCGCGGGCGGGGCCGGTACCTGCAGGGATGTCGCACAGGGCAAAGAGGCCCACGCGGGTGTCGCCGTTCACCGTCCACTTGAGGGTCTCGCAGTTGGGCTGGCAGCTGTGGTTCATGAACCGGGAGTAGTTGCCCTTGGGGCCGGCGTCGATGATGCGGTCCTGGAAGGCACAGCTCGCGTTTCGAGTAGCGGGGACCCCCGCCCACGCCCGGCCCTCCGCTCACTGAGAAGGGCCTTTGCGGCCGCAGCCCAGCCGGGCAGCCCGTGTAGCACCGGAAACCGTGGTGTCCCGTGTCCACTGAGGCAGGGCACCCCCCAATCCGGTCCAGTTTCTGTCGCTCGAGGAGGGCGGGTCAGGGCCACGTGGCCAGGACCGAGCCCCCGGGAGCCTGGGGCGGGAGCCCACCCGCCGAGGGACAGACCCGGGGGCCGGGACGCGGAAGGTGGGCCCCGGCAGCACCCCCACGCACACTCGCAGGGGACAGGGCTGCCCAGGGATGGGACAGGCAGGGAGCACAAACACAGCTCTCGACGCGCGGGCCCGGCCAGGCAGGTGGCAAGGCGCCCACGCTCGTGAGCAGCTGAGAGCGCGCAGCCAAGAAGGACCCTGGGCTCCGCCCGCCTGCCGTGACGCGGTCTGTCCTGCGGCCAGGGGCCCGGCAGGAACAGTGTGGAGGGCGCGAGCTGGGCGTCCGCCTGCCGAGACGCAGGGGCCTGGGCACGAGGGCCCTGCATTGGCAGCGACAACAGCCGAAGGGAGCTCCACCCAGCCACAGGGGAGAGGGGCTGGACCAGAGCCCACGCTTGCACTGGGGTCCCCGCTCCGGGGCGGCCTGGCACCCGGAATGAGGATCCAGCAAGTGCCCGTCGTGAGTGGACGCAAAGTCACGCCTGAGGTGAGGGCAGGCGAGCAGGGAGATCGCGGCACCTACAGGCTCCCTGGCCACGTGGGCCGGCTCAGCCGCCCACACACGCCTGCACACGCCTGCACACACCCCGGCACTGAGGCTATGCTTTTTGGAGCCCCTGCGCCCCACGTGTGGCAGCAAGAAGGCCCCGGACTCGAGCGCAGGACGCTCGCCGGCCGCCACCCGTGACTGCCGAGGCCGCGTCTCTGTCCCCGTGACCGAGGTGGCCCTGCGCCTCCCTGCCACGCCTCTCGGGACGCGGGGATGGCCCAGCCCAGCCTCCCGGGCGCTCTGTCTGACTCCTCCCCAGCGGGGTGTGCGGCACTGTCTCCGTGTGTCTCCCAGTGTCGAGACCTTCCTCACTCAAAAGCTTCTCGGTGTTTGCGGCTGCTTTACCAGCTCTGGGCGCCGACCCCCCACCCCGCGTGGGGCACCTCTCCCGCACCGTCCCGGCGCTCAGGCACGGGGGCACGGCCACGGCCCTGGGCGGGCCGCTCCCGAGGACCCAACTGTGCCCGCCTGCTGTCTTCAGGGCCGGCTGTGCCCTGCCATCTGGGAACAGGCGTGCACGCCCTCACCAGGCTCCGCCTCTCGACGGGCAGCGGTGAGTGGACGCCCCCCCCCCCGCCCCACCCGCAGTCTCTGCCTCGCAGTGCGGCAGGTCCTCGGCTCAGCCCCTGCTCTGGCAGCCTCCTCCATGGACGGACGCCCGCCTCCCAGCCCCACGGGGACGCCCGGCGTCTCCCGTCTCCTCCTCGGGCTCTCCGCCCCTCCCCCGGGGTGAGTCCTCCGCTGCGCGCTCCCTCGGCGGTTCCGTCAGACCCGGGCTCACTGCCTCGGTTCTCGCCGACACCCAGACCTCGTCCCGAAGGCCCTGCCCCGGGGGGCCCTACCTTGTCTATGGTGAGCATGTAGAAGTGCGTGATGTCGTTCTCGTGCGCGCGCTTGATCCTGGCCATGCACTCCTCCTCGTCGATCAGCTCGCCCACGTACTCGTTCACGAACTCCCCCTGGGGGCGGAGGGCGCGCTGACTCGGCCGCCCCCGCTGCCCGCGAAGGAGTGCGTATCCTCCCCCCTCGCTCCCCCAGGTGGCCACCCACGCTCCGGCCGGAGGCAGGCTGTAAGGGGTCCGTGAGCGCCGCGGCCGCGCTGACTCAGACGCCGTCAGACCACGGGCTCCCTCGTGTGCAGACCCGCGGGGACCCGAGGAGCTGGCTGACCTTGCGGATGTCCCTCTTGGCGACCAGGCCCCAGCCTTTGCCATCCGTCCTGATGATCTTGGTCTCGGGGTACTGGCGCTTGCTGAAGCACTGGTTCTGGCAGGACTCGCCCGCCGGGCACACCTGCGGGTGGCACTCGAACATCAGCATGCGGTTCAGGCACTCCGAGTCGATGCCGCAGGGGCTCTCGTCCGTGGGCTTGCAGTTGCACTTGGGGATCTCGGAGATGTCGGCCGTGTGGATCTGCACCTTCCCGTACGGCTTGTTCACCTGCGGGGACGGGCGCGCTGCCTCAGCCCACACACGGGGGGCCGTGCCCGGGGCCCCGCACCCCCCGCGGCACCCTGCCCGGCCCTGGGGCTTCAGCGGGGGCTGCCCTCGGCGCAGCCTGCCCTGCCCCGCATGTTCCCCGGGCACAGTCACAGCATCTGTGCCCTCGTCCACGGGGGAACAGACATTTAATCCAGCCGGCGGGTGTGACAGGAAGACACACAGAAGCTCAGCACAAGGGGTGCCGGACACCCCCTGCCCAGCCCACCCGCCTCCCAGCCCCACGGCTGTCGGGCCCTCCGGACTGAGCCCCCACAGGCGCCCCCGGGGACAGGAGGCTCCGGCTCCGTGCACGGCCTCCGTGTGTGGCTAACGGACCAGGAGTGGCCCCACAACAGAGCAGCAGAGAAAACCAAAAAGGAACCGGAACGGAAAGGAGTGAGCGGCTCCCAGGACCACCCAACTGGACAGGCAGGGACACGCCTCCGGCCCCCACCACGGTTCCGGGAACCCTCCCAAACCGGCACGGCGCGGCAACTAGGCAAACACCGCCCCTGCACGAGACTCTGGCAGCAGGAGCTCGACAGAGCCTGTGACCAGCTGCAGGGCGGCCAGCACCCCTGCCAGCACCTCCAGGCAGCACCCACCGGGCCCTGGGGACACACTCGGTGAGCACGGGTGGCGTGAGGAGGGCTCCCGCGGAGCAGGCGCAGGCCCACAGGCAGGGGCCTGTCCTCCCTTGCTCGCCACGCCCTCGGGGGCTCCTGCGGGGCACCGGCCTGGGCTGACCGCCCCGCCAGGGCACGGTGCGCTGCAGGCAGCCCGGCGGCTGGGCCTTGAGGAGCTCACAGGCAGAACCTGGCCCCACTGGCCGGCCCCACCCCGCCTCCCCGCTGCCTGCGCCTGCTCCCGGAGCAGCGTGCTCACAACCCCGCTCCTGGGGCACGGTGCGGCCGCCGCTGTCCAAGGTCACCTTGATGTGCTTGTAGGGCGGGGGCCTTCGCTCACTCTCCTGTGTCTCCCTGGCCTCCCTCTGGAGTTTGACCTCACGAAAACGAGCCTCGGCTTCTTGCAGCGCTGGAAAGCCGAGGAAAGACCATCAGAGGCTTTAGCGACCAGGCGCACCTGCCCCGCCGGCTCTGTGCCCTCGCCGCCCAGCGCAGCTGCAGGTCGGGGTGAGCGAGGGCGTGACACTGTGGGCGGTGCTCCGGGCTGCCACCTCCTGGGGGGGAGCAGAGCTCCGGGGACCCTGCGGGCCAGGCGCTGTGGGGGGCACTCGGGGCAGCCACCCCCTCGGCTGTCACCCTGACGAGGTGTCGGGTGTCGACACGGGGCACATGGGGCCGGCCGCTGGCGGTGGGCCCCACTCAGGGCTCCACGGGACTCCCGCCGGGAGTCAGGAGGCGAGGAGGAGGGCCCACCCACGGCCCAGCGAGCACGCATTGCACGCGGCTTCCCGGCCCCTCGGGGCCCCTCTCTGGCGCCTGCCACCCTCCCTCAGACCCGAGGACCGAGGCCCCCCGAGCGGGGTGGCCGTGGCTCTGTGGTCGCTGTGCCCCGCAGGTGCCCTCCGCGGGGTCCCGCGTGCCCTCCTGCACAGCTGCGTGCTGGGGGAGCCTCCTGCAGCCCTGGAGCCCCGCTCCTCTCCCGCCGGCCACCTGACGGCACCGCACACCCGCCCACACTGAGGTCTGGAAGCAGGCCAGCCCCGCGCCACCCCGCCCCGTCTCCCCCTCACTGACCCTGAGCGAGAGCCGGCTCCTGCACATGCGCACTCATTCCCGCCCCGCCCCACAGCAGCAACGGTGTTAGTGCTTTGTTGTTGCAGCATTAACCGCAACCCAACGTTACAAAAAGTATCGAACAGTCTCTCTCGCCCAGCGCCTCCACAAGTCAGCAGAACTACTCTCCCTCAGTCACAGCACCCCGAGGACGCTGAGCACGGGGTGTTCCACAGAAGCCCCGTTGTCAGAGCGCGGAACAGGGGTCAGCACCGTGCCCGCCCGCCCGCCCGCCCGCCGCCCGGAGAGGCCCGTACCGTTTTTGAAGACTCTTCCGATCCCTCTGACCCCCTGGTAGCGGCTGCCCCGGTCCCCCTCCATGTACGGGAACACTCGAGCCTGATGCGTCCAGTAATAATCTTTAGACCCAAAGAAAAACACAGGGAATTCTCCAACCTCGTGCTTCATTTTCTGAATATTTGGGGGGACATTTTTGGGATGGCAAACTTCTGCCGGCCACCATCTATTATAAATATTAAAAACAGGGTTCACAGACTCTTCAGCGGGAGGGACAGCGCGTCCAGGCTGCAAGGCAAAAGAACAGGTGTGAGCGCGATGGCGGGGGCTGGGCCCGGGCGCGCCCACCTGTAGTTCCCGAGCTTGACCCAGACGATGTCCTGGTGGCGCAGCCGCTTGCCGGCCCTGCAGTCGTTGCAGAACCAGCTGCCGTCCGGCATCTCGATGTTCAGGCAGTCCGGGTGGAAGGCCGCGGGGCAGGCCTCGCAGCACAGCAGGCTGCCCCCTGCAACCGAGGGGGCGCTGAGCCTCCCCGCCGGCCCGGGCGGCCGCCCCCTACCGCAGTCCGCACGCCGGCGCGAGAGCACGTGTCACCGCTGAAGGGCCGCGGCGAACCCGGGGGTGCCGCCCAGGGGCGCGCGGGGACTGGCGCAGCCATGCCCCGCTGGCCGGGCAGCGGCGCCCGGCGCCCCCCCCCCATGCACGGCGCCCGCCGGCCTCACCTTTGGAGCACACGAAGCACCAGCTGACGTTGACGTGGGCGTGGTGCCGCGTGCCCTTCCGGGCGGTGAAGTGGCCCGCGCAGACGATGCTGTGGGGGGCGAGCACCAGGCAGCCCGCGGCCAGACACGCGTCCCCTCCGTGGTAGGCCACGGGGCAGCGGACGCAGCGCATCATCTTACCTGGGTGGGCAGAGACACGCTGAGGGCCCGGCCGGGGGGCGGGGGGGCGCACGGAGTGCCCGACCGAGGCAGGACGAGGCCGGCGGCAGCACCTGACGGCCGCCCTGGAGCCCACGGCCCCGGGTGGAGGCCCACGGCCGCCCGGGACGGCCCTCAGGCCCGGCTCCCCAGGCTTGGCGCCGCCCCACCCCGTGCCGGCGCACACCCCCCCACACACTTCCAGACAGGCCGCAGCCCCCCGGGACCCGACAGCCTGCGCTGGGTCCAGAGGCGCAGACAGCCCGCCCTCCTCAATGCTGCAGCCCCAACAGACAACGGCAGAAACGACCGCACTTTAAAATCTTAGTCTGGCGCCTGCGGGACCACTGAAGTGACAGCTAGCAGAACCCACCCCAGGGACTGACCGGTGCCACCCCCGACCTCTGGATTAAGGGTCTGCAGGTGACCTTCAGGGAAGAGGAGACACGGAGGGAGCGGCTGCCAGGGAAAACCCCGAGCTCCCGTGCCGCGTCAGCAGGGGAGCAGCGGCTCCTCCCACGCCCACCGCAGCCGCCCAGCCGCGGCCACGGGGTGTGCGGGCCACGCCCTGCAGGTGCGTACCTTTCGCGGAGCGCGGGTGCGCGGGGTTGGACGCGTGGCAGCTCACGCAGCTGTGCAGAGGGCAGCGGAAGCCGCGGCTCTCGAACACCGTCAGGGGGAACCTCCCCACGCAGGCCTCGTGGTAGAACTTCCCGCACTGCGGCACGAGGCAGCGCTTCACGTCCGCCCGGCGGTCCTTGCACACGAAGCAGGAGTGGATCCCTGGCGGGCGGTGGAGGGGCCGAGGGGACAGAGAGCAGGGTCAGCAGCTCTGGGAGGCAGGCCCGGGGGCGGCAGCGCCCCTTCCCCTCCCCGCACGGAGCCGTCCGTCGCCGCTCCCCTGCGTCCAGCCAGGCGGGCGGCCGCTCTGGGGGGCGGGAAGCGGGGAGGAGCGAGGGCCCCAGGAAAGGAGGGCTCTCCCTCTCCCACTGAGCACGGCAGCTAGACACGCGAAGAGCCGCGTAGAGGACTGGTCCCCAGCGAGGTGCCCGTGCTGGCCACAGCCTGGGGCACCTCTGGGAGATGCGGCCGCTCCTGACCCAGGTGTGTCCCGGAGAGCCGGGAGCCAGGCCGGCGGCAGGTGAGCCGCGACACCCGACGCACTGCCGGCCTCCATCAGCCCCACCCGACGCCAGAGGAGCCGCTGCCACAGAGCAGGAGCCCTGGCTGCGCAGGGACGAGTGTGCCAGCACTCAGGCCGCAGCCTGGGGCGGGGCTCTGAGCCCCGGCGGACCCCGGCACGAGCCGTGGCGCCACCGCCCACGGGACGCCATGCGCCCGTCGCCTTGCACGGGCTCATCCCGAGGGACTCCCGCCCTCGACAGAATTCACGCCTGTCACCCGACAGAAGGTGCCCCCCAGAGGTGCGCCTGCCCGCTGGCCACACCTAGGGAAAGGTGGCCCCGGCCCCGGGTGTGCGGGGAAGCTGAGGTGCGGTGGGGGGGGGACGAGGCAGGACTCCGGCCTGGGAGCCGGCCCAGCCAGCTCAGGGTGGGACAGCACTTGCCTGAAGTACACTCGCTGCAGGTGAACCGTCCCTCCGGGGGCCGGGACCGGCCGAGGCAGGCAAGGTGGAAGGCCCCGCAGCAGGGGCCCTCGCAGAGCAGGAGGCTGCCGGGCTTCTCACACACCTGCAGGGCACGGCACAGCTGAGGCCCCGCAGCCCACCCCACCGCGGCTCCCCCGAGGACGGGCGGCACGCACACCGGACAGCCTGTCGGAGCCCCCAGCACCAGGGGACCGGCAGGCCACGGTGCACAGACAGGGACCCCTCGGCGGCCGCAACGGGACCGCCTGGGGCGGTGGCAGGTGAGACCTGAGAGCAGGCGCACGCCCACACAGCCCTGTCGGGACGCGGACTTGCCTGCGGCAGCCGAGAGGTCGCTGTCTCGGGTGCGCCGCCCACCCCAGGGCCCCCTCCCGCCCGCTCCTGCGCCCTCCCGAGCCCGTGGGTGGGCGTGCACCTGTCCATCAGGCAGGGGACAGGCCCCGGCTGCGCAACCGCCCTCACCTGACACACGTGCTCCTTCCGGACAGCCACCCCCCGCTCCGACTTCTTGGACGAGACGGACGCTTCGGTCTGGGTTTCGTCAGCGCTCTCGTACGGGGACTCCAGGGGCTCGTCGCCCGGGCCGTCCGAGACCTGCAGGGCGGAGGCGGACGACAGTTCACGCGGTGCAGGGTGCTCCGAGGCGGGCCCGCTGGGCCCGGGCCACGCACGCCGGCGGGCTTCCCGACGGTGCAGCGTGTCGACGAGCCGGGCGGGCGCTCCGGCGCGGACTCCGTTCCACGTGACGCTCACCACGCGTGCACACGCGTGAGGGAGGAGGGACCGTGTCCCCTCAGTGTTCCTTAACCACGAAGTAACACCCGCGAGAGCCCAGCGTGCTCTTGGGGGCGGCCGCCAACCGGCTGGGACAGAGCACCGTGGCTTCCGGGCCCTACCGGCGGCGGGCCGGCTACTTACAGAGAAACACACCACCCGAGCGCGTCTCGGGGAGCCGCGGTGCGCTCACCAGGGGCCTCCGCACCGGGGCCCGCCGTCTGCGGCTGCTGCGCCGGAGGCTCCGTGTTGCGGGAGCGCGTCGTACACGGCGGACCGGGCCGCGGCGGGCCCTGCGCGTCCTCCGCCCGCTGCCCGCCTTCCCAGCCAGGAGGCGGCGGGGCGGTCCGAGACCACAGGGCGGGTGTGGCGCTCCGGCCGGCTGGTGGGGCCGCTCCTGGGTCCCAGCGACCGGGCGACACCCTCTGCCCGCCCCCCGCTCCGCGGGCCCCTCTGGGGCCGGCACCAGGGAGTCTTCAAACGGAAGTCAGTCAGTCCCCATCAGAAACCCCCCTCGCGCGCCAGCGGGGGCGCTGCTGGGGGCGAGGCTGGAGCGGGCTGACGGCGGGGTGTTCCACCAGAACAGCACGTCACCCCGTTTCCTGTCCCTCGAGAACCACGGGGCACCGCGTGTGCCGGGCCTCCTGCCCGCCCAGCGAGCCGTGGACAGCGGACCACGTTAACACCTCAGACACGAGACCCCAGACCCCGGCCCGCCAGGACCACCCGCCCCCCTGCCTGCTCGGGGAGCCGTCTCCAGGTCCAGCTCATCGGCGTCACAGGGGGAGGGGGAGGAAGAGGAGGGAGGAGGAAGAGGGACAAACAGCCAACGCTGTGCCTGGCCGACGGAGCGAGTCGGCATCGCAGCGGCTGGCGTGCCTGGAGGGACCCGCTGCTCCGCCGGCGTCTGTGGCTGCGGGGGCACAGGTGGGGCCCCGCCCCTGCACGCTTGCTGTCTGGCACACCCGTGACCGTGCGGCCTGGAGGGAGGGCGGCCTTGCGGGCGGTCCCCACGCGTCTCCCAGGCGGGGGAGGAGCAGCGTGAAGGAACCCTGGGCTACAGGCCCCCCGCGGCAGAGCCCGGTCTGCGCGGGGGGCCCAGACGGGGTCGCCGGGGCCTGTGGGCCCTCCTGTCACCTGGCCTCCCGCCCCGACCACGGGCCCCCGGAGAAGGGCTCTGCGCTCAACTCCCACGAGTCCGTCAGGCGGCTGGGACAGGGCCCCGTCCCGGGGCTGCGGGGCCCAGGGGCCTGGGGGCGGCCTCCCTGGCAGAGCCGGCGGGCCCAGCCAAGGGCCCTCGTGGGGGCTCCACGGAAGACCGCCCAGCGCCCGCCCGCCAGCCCCGGTCCCCCCTCCCCGTGCCTGGGACCGGCTGCAGCGCTCGAGGGAAAGTGCGCGGAGAGAGACAGAACACACAGACCAGCCGGGCCAAAGGGAGGAACAGCACCTTTTATTCACGTTTACACAGGCATCAGCAGCTCCCACAGGGCGGAGCGTCTGAGGAGTGGACACGTACACGTTCAGGTGAGCCGCCGCGCGGGGCACACGAGCGGCCCTGGGGGTGGAGGTGCGCACACACACAGAGCCCAGGCCCGCGGCAGCGCGGCCAGGGCAGTGCGGCCGTCGGTCCCCCTCCGGCCGCGGGCCCCGTGCGCCCCAGAGGACAGGACTTACTCGGGGTGCGTGTGTGAGAGTGGCAGCCCCCCGCACGGTCCCCACACAGCCCCACGTCTCCGTGCACAGACTCTGCGGGCTGCTCCACGCCAGACAGGACGCGTTTGGGACAAGGGCCGGGGAGCAACGGAGGGGACAGACTGTCGCGAACCCCCCGAGGCTTCCCGCCGCCACTGGAGCCGCCACTGGAGCCGCCAAGGCCCAGCCGCCGCGCAGCGGCACTCTTCCCCGCCCTCCACCCGGCGTGCGCCCGCCCGCGGGGCTCCCCTCCTCGCCCGAGAACCACGCTCCTTCCCAGCCGGGCGCAGCCTCCCGCACACACCACAGGGTCCCAGGTTGCCGCCGTGAGCACACGGGGACCTGGGCCCGGCGCCTGGAGGCGATGCGGCCCTGGAGGGCTGCTGCACCTGGGAGCGGCGCCCCCAGGCTGCCGCGGGGGCTGGGACACAGTGAAGGCTCCGTTCTCTGACAAAGCAGACCCCTCCCCCACTGAGCCCCACATCGTTTGGAACGCAGCCGCCACCTAGAGCCACCCGCACCCCCGTGGCCCGGCACCGCGGGGCGCATGCGTGGGGCCTCCGCAGAGAGCCGCCGGGGAGGACTCCCCCCACCCCACCCGCCCCCATTCTGGATATGCAAATGGGGACCCTGTGCGCGCGGACCACAGCAGCTCTGGGTCACGAGGCTGGTCCCAGACAGGCCCCCCGAGTGCACGTCCCGGTGACACGCCAGGGGAGTGGGGCCACCTTCCCGGGGACTCCTTCAGGCCCCACGGCACTCAGGTCTCGGGGTTTTAGTGATGCAGCTCCTCGGGACGAGGCAGGCTGGGCCCCTCGCCAGCGGCCCCTTGCTGCCCCGGGCTATGTCCGAGCCCCGCCCCGCCCCGCCCCGCCCCTCCAGGCGGCTGCCGCGTGCGCCAGGGCCAGCCCTGGGCCCGGGGACCTGGAGCCCTTCGAAGAGCCCTGGCCGCCCGACGGTGGCCGCAGCACAGAGGGCGCTGGAGGGCAGCCGCGCAGCCCGGGCCCCCCCACCGCCAGCTCGGTCGGGTCCGGGAGACGCCCCGTGCCTCCGTGGTCAGTGCACCTCACACCACACGCTGACGAGCCGTGTGTCAGAAACCAGGACAGCGTGCAGGACAGGAGGAAGCTATGCACGTGGGCATCGCATGGGCCCACCCCATGACCGGCCCACGAGGTCTGGCTGGGGCCGCCCAGCACCGGACAACACGCGGGGTTGGGGGTCGCCGTGCACACGACCTGCCCCTGCTGCGGCCGGTCCCGCTGCACCCCCCGGCAGGTGGACGCACAGCGGCCTCCAGAGCCCAGCTCAAGCCACAGAGTGTTGGCAGGGGCCGAACCGGTCTCTCTGACCCTGACCCTGCAATGCAGCTCTCCACTCAGCTCCTCAGGACGGCTCAGAAACCCCCGCAGGCCTGAGGGTGGTCTGAGAGCCCTCCTCCAAGGAGACGGCGGCGCTTCAGCCCTCAGGGCAGAGGCCGTGACCCGGGGTCGCCGACGCAACCCCTGGTTCCCGAAGCAGGAAGCTCGAGTCCCGTGCCCGCCCGCGGGGCAGCACCCGGCTGCGCACGCTGGCGCCCAGCCAGGACCCCGTGGGGCGGCTGGCCCTGCAGAGGGGCTCGCCTGCGCCCAGGGTGCGTGAGGCCGGGCAGACCCGCACCCCCCGCCCCACCGGCCCCGTCGGACAGGGGGGCGCAGGCCGAGCACCCTCCCGAGGGCCCGTCCGTCCGGGGGCCGGAGCCAGATGCTGACCAACGGCCCCCTCTCCCTCACACACTTCCACACAGACAGGCAGCCAGCGTCCACCGCCCGCTGCCCGGCACACGCCACCTTCCTCACTCTCGGGCACCAGTCCCGGGCGCGACCACGGGCGCATCCAACGCAGCCCCGATGAGCGCCCCTCACCGCCACGCCACCCTGCCCCTGCGGGGCCCCCCCGCCAACGTCCCGGGCTCCACGGAGCCCTGCAGGAGGCTGTGCCCCCCCCTGCCACCCCGCCACCGGGCACTGCAGCACACGCCCACATGCAGGCACCCGTGGGGGCTCAGGGCCAGGCGGGAGAGCAGCCGCCCCTGCGCGAGGCCCACGGGACTGCCCTCGCTGGCTCCTGGGGACACCCGCTCCCCCGGGCCCCTCAGCCAGGAGAGGGCACGGCGGGCAGGACGCCCACGACAGCACTGGGACCGCCTGCCCCGAAACCCACAACTGAGGGGGGCAGGCACCCGGGTCCGCTTGGAGCGGAGCCCCCAGGAGACAGGAGCACCTGCACTCGGCTCACCAAGGCGCCACCCCGCGCTGCAGTGGCTGCAATCTAGACCCTGGCAAGCGCCTCCTGCCCAGAACGAGAGCACCCTCCCCGCTGCCCCACCCTCGCTGCCCCCACCAGCACGCAGGCAGCCTCGCTCCCAGCCCCCGCGCCCCCCCCCCGCACAGAGCCACTGCAGGGGGGGGCGTCTCAGCACCAGGCTGCCCCCCTCACTCGGCTTGCAGCGGGCACACCCAAGCGGCCAAGACCACGCCAGCTCTCTGAGCAGAGCCTCCCATCCCCCTCGAGCGGCCACGGGGCCTCCCAGTGCCGGTCCCCAGCAAGGCCGCCGCTGGCCACCAGAGGGGACAGCCGTGACCTGGGCCGGTGTGGCTGGCCCTCACTGCAGCCCCCCGAGCACACCTGCCTGCACTGCAGCCACCCTCCCAGCTAAGGAGCCCTGCACACCTCCGCTGTGTGCCCGGCCCCCACTCCAAGACCCCCGCTGATGCCAACTTCGCACTGCTCTGCGGGCTCCCCAGCTTCCCCCACCCCCCGCTGGGAAGGACGGCGCCCGCCACTCACCGGCCGGCCGCTGTCCGAACACGCCGGGCTGCGGTTTCCGAAGGCGCCCGGGGTCCCGCGCACGAGCCTTCGCCCCGGCGGCTGCGCCCTGCCGGGCCGCCTGCACGCCGTGCCGCACTCACTCCCCGGGTCGGCGCCGGCTCCCTGGGGACCGCCCGTCAGAGCCCACGCGGGGTGCAGCCCCCCCGCACAACGCTTGCACAGTTCCGCGGGAGGACGGAGCGGCAGTGACCTCGCCGCTGTGCGGTGAGGACCGCGCTGTCGCGGGGCGGACCCCTGCATCGTCCCGAGGTGCCAGGCAGCGCAGGGGCTCGGCGTGTGTCACAGGAAGTGAAAGCTCGGAACACGAGTGCCACTCAGAAACTCCCACGGCCGGGGACGCGCCGCAGAGTCTGGGGGACGCCGCGGCAGGGCCGCTCCTGCCTCGCCAGCCCAGGGCCTGTGAGGCCGCGCCCCTGGCACGCGGCGTGCAGTCCCGGACGGGACGCCGGCGGCCCCCAGGAAGGAGCCCCTCCGTGGGACGGGCAGGAGGGGGAGGGCCCCGGTCCGTGACGACACCGCAGACGGCACGGCCCACGGTCGCCCTGCCTAGAGGCGCGGGGAGCCTGTCCAGTGAGAAGACAGCCGCACGGCCCTGCTGCCCCACCGGCAACGAGGGGCAGGGACCAGCGTGTCTCTGCCCAGCGTGTCTGCTCTCGGCTCAGGAGGTGCCGGCGCTGGCGCTTGTCAGGAAATGCCCGGTGGGTGACGGGCCGGAGGAGGACAGCGGCCCCCCGCGAGACCAGTGCTCTGTGGGGGCTGCTGCAGGCCCGGCCGGGGGCACCCTTCCCCCGGACGCCTGCGGCAGCCCTGGCCCGGCGGCGTGCGCCGCAGACAGGAGGGGCCGGGGTGATGGCCTGGCCGGGTGTCTCACCGCAGCCTCAGAACGTGTCAGGCCTTCTTCACCGTGTGTGTGTGTGCGTGTGTGTGCGTGTGTGTGTGTGTGCGCCCAACAAAAGCAGGCACCGCACCCCCCACGGCGCCCGTGAGGCGTGCCCCCCGCGTGCCGACAGCGCGGCCCCTGCTGCAGGCGCCCCGGGGAGCGGCCCGTGCTGAGAGCAGCACAGGGCGGCCGAGGCCAAGCCCCGCCTGACCGACAGGGGCTCCCGTAGAAGCTGTTACCAGAGAAGGCAAACAAGTAAGAGTCTGCCCTACCAAGGGAGTAAGAGACGAGCTACAGAAACACTTCCGTCGCATCGACCCGCCTCAGGCCTCTGTCTCCGCCCGGTGCCCCTGCGGCGGGGCTCCAACCCAGGCGCGGCCTAGCGCACGCCCTCTTGAGAAGGGTTTCGCCCTCGACAGGACCCTCCGTGTGCTGGAGCCCCGCCCTGTCTGCATGCTCGTTGGGTCAAGGGTGAAGGGAAGGAAAAGCACAGACATGTGAAGGGCGCGGGGCCTGAGCAGGGGCCGGTCTGAAGCCCCCAGCTGCCGCCCGAGGCCTCAGACCCCACCAGCCGTGGCCCAGCGGGCGGCAGGGGGCTCACACCGCCACGCTCTGCCTCCCGGGCCCTGGGGCCCTCCGTGTGGCCCGTGCCGGCAAGGGGCCCTGTATGTGCTTCCGTGACGTGCTGCGTGGGCGGCTGCCCCGCGCACCTGCAGGCTTTCCAGGAGGGGCCCCTGCTGTGGACGCGGGCCCCACCCTGACCAGGGGCGGACCGCGCACTGGCGTCCACGCGCCACCTCCCAGAGCTGGCGGCTGGGGATGCGCCTGCCACGAACCTCTGCGGTACCTCACCCCTCCCCAAGCTACAGAGCCGACAGTCTGTGCAACCTGGCAGCTCTAAAACGCTTCCCACGTTCAGAACCAGGGTCCAGGCTGCAGACACTCGGCTCCCTAAAATGAGCGGCAGGCCCTCGGGCTCGTCTGGCCAGCGCAGCACTGCGCCCCCGCGCCCGCCCCAGGTGAGCGGCCCCACTGCGTGCACAGCTCTGCAGGACCCGGGCGGGGGGCCCCCAAGCAGCCTCGGTGGTTCCCCGGCGGCTGTGCCTGACACAGGGGGCAGGGACACTCGGCTGAGCGCGTGCCCCGAAGCGTGGCGGTGCGAGAAGAGCCATTGAAAAGCCGACTCTGCCACAAGGGTCTGTGGAACGGAAACCTTTTATTTGTGGTGCTCCTGTTCAGAACCGCAGGCCACCTTTCCATCCAGCTTTGTGGGACGAGGGAAAGAAGACCTTCTGTAGGGGATGTGCCTTCTGGTGTCCAGGAGGCTCCTGGGGCTCAGCGGAGAACGCTGACCATGTGCCCGGCCGTGCCGATGTCGCCCGCGCCCACACACGTCAGAAAGGCCCGGCCTGTGCACGCGGGCAGCGGCTCCCCTCGGCCCAGCCGGCCCGGGTCCCCAGGAAAGCCCCCCAGAGGAGTGCCCTGTGTTCACAGCCCCGAGGACCCGGGCAGTGAGCTCAGGCCCTCTGACCTGGGGGACTAAAGACCCTCACACGCCAGGACGAGAGGAAGAGCCAAGGCCGGCCGAGCACAGGAGAACGCCGGTCCCACTGGGGACCGCGGCAGAGACAGGGCAGAGGCGCCACCTTCCGACCCAGGGCGGGGGGTCTGTCCCCTCCCCGCCCTGCTGTCCTGCACCGCGAAAGCCCCAGGCCAGCGCCTCCTCGTCGACACTCCAGAAACAGGACCCCCGTCTACAGTGGGAAAGGGAACCACAGGGACTAAAACCAGGAGCTAAAACAAGGAGCTAAAACCAGAAGCAGCCTCCCCGGGGAGTCACTGGCGTCTGGAGGCCCAGACGCCCTCTGGACCGGAAAGGCGTCGACTCTGCATTCTGAGGCTATGTTGCCTTTGTTCCTCACGTGGCACAGACCGGAGGTTTGCTGACGAAGTCTAGGCGTCGTGGCACACGACAGTCACAGCCTCAGCTGCCGTGCAGGCCGGGAGCTCAGGAGCCGCCGCCGGGCCGGGTCGGGCTCGCCTCCACGCTCCCGCTTCTAAGAGCGCTGGAGTCGGAAGGCCGAGGGGGGCCACGGCCCCGCAGCCGCATCCCTCGGGAGCCACGGTCCAGAAGCCACAGCCACCGCACGAGCGTGTCCCCGCCCTTGTCCCCCGGGGCGGCCCGCGGGCAGCATCCCGCCAGCGCCGCTCCGCGGGCAGCACAGAGGCCGCGGGGACGGCGGGCGGCGCCCGTCCGGCGGCACAAGCACTCTCACGCACGCCGTGTGCGAGTCCTCACGTCTCGAGTGCTCGACTAGACTAGGGGAGGGGCTTCGGTCCGTGTCGCGGCGTGCACAGTTTGGAGAGCCTGGAACTCGCCTGCGTTCGTGGAGAGCCGCGAGGCCGTGCTGAGGCGGTCTGGCCCGGGCCAGCGAGGGCCTCCGTGAGGAGGCCGCAGCCGCCGGTGCTACTACTACTTTACCTCGTTCTCGGTCACGGATGCGGCGGGAGACGAGCTCTTGCTGAGCGCGAGCGCCGGGGACGCCGCCGCGGGGGCCCGGTGCCGCTTCTTCAGGGGCTTGCACGAGTCCGACAGGTGCTTTGCTGCTGCAAAACAAGGGGGCCCCCGAGTGAGCGTGAGGCGTGAGGCGTGAGCCCCCAGCCCCCTTCCTGCCGCGAGCCGCCGGGCCCTGCAGGCGGCTCCCGTGCCGTGCCAAGGGCCTCGGTGCTCGCCGGGGGCAGCCCGGGCGCAGGCGAGGGCGGGCCACGGGCCCCCGTGCATGCCTGGACGCCAGCCCTGCCAGGGCTCCGGCGCAAAGCCCAGACCCACGGCCCCCGCAAACGGGCCCGTGTGCACCCCTGAGGCCTGCGGTCTGGGCGTGCCCACAGCCCCACCGTCGGTGTGGAGGCGGTGTCCCCTCCAGCACCGCACGCCCACTCCGTGTTCAAGCTGCTCACCGCGGTTTTCTCGAGAGGCTGTTGCACCGACTTCTAAAACCCAGTTCGGCACCTCGGGCGACAGAACGCAGCCCAGCCGCCGCAGACTCGCTCGCGCTCTGACCCTGCGCCTCATCCCCGCCCGCCTCAGAGCCAGACGCGGAGGTGACTCCGAGAGCCGCCCGACAGCCCCGCCAGGGGACAGCCCACGCCGCCCTTCCCCGCCCCGAGGGCCGCTGCTCACCCCCTGCAGCTCGGCCCCCGCACACGCGCAGCAGCAGGGGCGGCGCCATCTGCCCCCGCGCGGTCTGCCCCCACGCGCCGTCCGCCCCCATGCCGTCTGCCCCCACGCCGTCTGCCCACACGCGGTCTGCCCCCACGCCGTCTGCCCCCACGCCGTCTGCCCCCACGCCGACTGCCCACACGCGGGTGGAGGCCCAGACGCTGACGCCAGGACCAGCCCGCCGGCCCACCTGCCGATGCGTCACGCCTGAGGCTCGAGCAGGCCCCGACCGGGGATCCGCCCGGCCACCGTGGCGTACGGGGGGCGGTGCTCTAACCAACCGGGCCGCCGGCCAGGGCCCACGGCTCTGCTGTGCGGGCAGTAGAGCCACGCGGGAGTCGGCAGCAGAGCGGCCCTGGCAGCACGCAGCTCGGCCGTGCACACAGCCGAGGATGAGGACGGCTGCCCTCCCAGCGCACTGAGCTGCCTGGCACCTGCCCAGCGTCCTCAGGACTTGAGGCCGCTGAAGGCCCCGCCCCAGCCCGGCCCCCTCCCGGCGCCGGCCAGGGACACCCGCCAGGAGCCCCCCAGAGACGCGGCCACCTTACCTGCCTGGCTCTTCAGGGAGGAGGCCGCCTCCAGGGCCTTGCAGGAGCCTGTTCGGGACGGCTTGTCGGCGACGGCTTCTCTCTGTGGGGCAGAGACAGACTGGCTGAGGAACGTACAGGAGGGCACCCCAGGACGAGAAGGGGAAGGAAGCCGGCTCCTAGCCTGACCTCCCACAGCTGGGAGGAGCGGACGGAAACCCCTCTGCTGGGAAGCGCGTGGGACCCGCCGCCAGCGGCCCAGCCTCACACTCTCTCCACGACCAGACAGCCGCCCTGCCCAGCCCCCACCGGCGCCCACACTGCCCGGGCCTCGCCAAGCCTGACAGGACCTGACGGGGGTGAGGGCTTCCAGCACGCCGCCCGAACTTCCCCTTGGTCCCCCGGGGGCACAAGGGCAGAGGCCTTTCCCAGGCTGCCCGGCCCGAAAGCGGCGCCGGGCTGAGCCAGTGCCAGCCCCGCACGAGTACCTTCCGGAGGCCATGCTTGTCGGTCCTGAGCCTCTTCCGGGGCACGTCCTCGGCGTCGGTGTCCCCCGCAAGGTCCTGGGTTCTCTTCGGCTGGGCCCTCCTCCTCCCGTGGCAGCAGCCTGCGGTGGCACGGGGGGACTCGCGTGAACCACCGCCCCGGGCCACCCGGGGCTCAGCCCGCAGGCCCACTGGCCCCCAGGCCGCCCGGCATCGGTCCCACTGGGCCCTGGGCCACCCCGGTCTGGGCCGAGAGACTGCCGTCTGCTCTGAGTACGTCCCCGTGGGCTAGATAGGACCTCCAACTTCAGCGTCACCCAGTGTTTGAAAACTCCCCTCTCCTCACTGACACGTGCGGACTGGCGGAGTGCAGGCTGCACTTCCACCAACACGCAGCTCGCTCTGAGTCATATGTTTCCGAGCAGCAGGCTCCGGGCTGTGCTCCCCACGTCCCTGCACCCCATGGGACCCCCGACCCGACCTGGGGCGCCCACACAGAGGGACGGCTGACCTGCACGCCAGGTTTACTGCGACGCACACCCCTCTCTCTGGCCCGCGGCTGAGCCCGGACGGGCCCGGCTGCCCGAGGGAGGGCAGCGCCGCTCAGGGACTGGGCGCTGGGGCGGGGCAGAGTACACGGCCACGTGACATGATGTCCAGCGTGCCCGAGGCCAGGGCGGAGCGCCTCGCTGGCTGGCAGGGGGTAGCATGGTCCCTGGGCTCCCTCCAGGCCCCTGGGAAGAGGGCCCGCTCGGCCCCCACACGGCCGCCCGCCCGCCTGCAGAGGCACCCGGGGCCGCCGACCCTGCCACAGCAGCAGCCCCAGAGCCTCCCCGCCCCCACGGAGGCGGCGCTGCCGGTCCTGGCAGAGGTGTCAGCACAGCTCCGTCTGGATTCCTGCACCAAGGTGAGGGGCAGCGGGCACCGTGGCTGTGCTGCTGGTCCAGGCTCAGAGAGCGCGGGGTCTCGGACGGAGAGCATGAGGGGCCTCCAGAGACGCGCCCACAGCCGACGCCCTCGGGAGCAGGGGCTCCTAAGTGCCCGCGGACCACCCGGAGCCCCCCAGTGCGGCCCGGTCCCGGCCACACGCGCTCTCCAAGAGCGCTCTGAGCCGCGCCGCGCCCCCCCCCCGAGAGAATGCCGGGCCCCACGCGCCCCCGCTGTTCCACCTCGAGGCGCCCACTGCAGGCACTGGGCCAGACTCAGCATCGGGGTCGCAAGACGGGCGCTGTGGCGGGCCAGAGCACCCCGCCCGCCGAGAGGGCCGGCTGTCTGGGGGTGTGCACGCGCAGAAGCCCCCCAGGGAGCTCCCCGCCCCGATGGGCACTCGGCCAAAGTGCCCCTCGGGCTGCCCCCTCCTTCTAGGGGACCCTGAGCACATGTCACAGTCAGCCCCCCCAAAGCTCGTCAGTCACAGACCCGCAGAGACGCAGCGCTCTGCGTTACCCCTGACTGTTAAACACACGCCGACTTGAGAGAGAGAGGAGGAGAGACGGAGAGAGAAACACTCGCCGGTGGCCTCCCACGCACACCCCTGACCGGGGACCGAAAACGGCAACCCAGGCGTGGGCCCGGGCCGGCAGCCGAGCCTGGGACGTGCCGGTGTGCAGGACGACGCTCCCGCCCACCGGGCCGCACTGCCAAGGGTGTGTTTGTTTTGTGTTTTAGACTCACACCCAAACGTCACACTTGCTCTTAAATTTCACAAGTCAGTTTCCCATCCCTACTGGTGTGGCTCCGTTGGTTGGGTGTCACCCTGCAGACCGAAAGGTCACCAGTTCAACTCCCAGTCGGGCACGCGCCCGGGCTGTGGGCCAGGCTCCCAGACGGGGGCGTGTGAGAAGCACCCAACGGATGGTTCTCTCACACCGATGTTTCTCTTCCTTCCTTTCCTCCTCCTTTTCCCCTGCTCTAAAACTAAAAAAAAATTTTTTTAAGCCCGTTTTTCAGTGTTCCCAAGCAGGCAGATGAGGAGTGTTGCTGACGGTCAGAGTGCAGATGGTCAGCCGTCCCTCTCGCACCGCTGCCCGAAGCCAAGGCGCTTTTGCGCTGTAAACTGACCGCCGAGACACAGCCGGGAGGCCGCCCACTCTGCGTGCTCTCCAACAGGCCAAGAAAGCCCCTCGGGGCCAGGGCCCCGCCCACCAGCCCCGCCAGGGGTGCAGGCGCAGCCTCCCCGGGACAGAGGCCTGAAGGCTGACCCCGCCAGTCTGCGCGGGCACAAGAGGGACCGCAGGCCGGCTGGACCGCAGGGAGCAGCTCTCGGGACACCGAGTAAGCACACGCAGGCAGCAGGGGTGGCCCTCTGTGGCCCCGCGCACCCTGGCAGCCGGCGCAGCCCCGCAGGTCAGTGTGGGGGAGGGGCACCGTCCTGTGCACCCCGCGCCCCGGCCTTTACCTGCGTCTTCTTCGGAGGGGGGCAGGGCCAGCACGGCGAACTTGGTGTTGTAGCGCGCCTTCTGCTTCTCGCTGAGCATGCTCCACTGGGACCCCAGGAGCTCTTCAATCTCCTCCCCAGAGGCATCCGGGTGCTCGGCCACCACCTGTGGGCACAGCGGAGGGAGGGGTGAGGCGCCACGCACCCGACCCTTGCCTGGGCCTCGCTGCGCACGAAATCCGAAGCGAGGCCCTAAGGGCCGGCCAGGCCCTGAGCTCCCGCGTCACGAGCACTGCCGCCGCAGCTGCACAGAGCTCTCGTGCTCGCGCGGGCGGAGACCCACGGAAACCCACCCACGGCGCCAGCATGCCGCTTGGACACGGGAAAGGACGCGTGGTGGGACAAGACGCCTTTCCAGAGCCATCGCGTAATTAGGAAGACAGAGTTCTCTAGGCTTCCCGCAAAGGTCAGCTGTACCCCAAGGCCCCGCAAACAGGACCTCGGCCCGTGGAGCGGGGCCTGGGCCTGCTGCCTCGGCAGCCGGGGGGCCTGTGCAGCGGGGGCAGCGCCCTGGAAGACCCCCGGGCCCCGCCCCCACCCCACGCAGAGCTCTCCAGGTCCTGACCCGCAGGCACCGTGAGCCCCACAGAGCGCGTCACCGTCGGAGGCCACCGTTCCGAGGAGCGTCACGGCCAGCAGGTGACCGGCGCACACGCACAGGAGGCAACAGGCAGAAAGCACTGAAAGCCCCGGAAACACGAGGGTTGGGAAGGTGGAGGGGACCCTGCAAAGGTGAAGCTTGGGCTTCACACCACCACCGACAGCTAAACCGCTTCTGCACGGCAGCCTTCGGGGCGTCTGCAGTGGCCTGGCCTCCCGTGGGGCTGTCCCCACGGCCACTGGGGCGGTGCCCACGCTCCGCCCAGGCTCCCGGAGGCAGGCTCCGCCCACTGTGGCGGCCATCCGGCCCCTCCCCCGGCCCCGTCAGCAGTGTTTCAGGGACGCACTTGGGCCGGGCCGAGCCTACCGCACGGACCGACACGCCAGCCCCACAGACCGGGGACCGCCGGCCGCTGGGAGCACATTTCCCGTCTGCAAGCACGGCGCGGGGAGCTGGCCTCAGCAAGCAGCAGCCCAACATGCTGCCCGTCGCTGTCTCCTCTCGAGTGACCCCACAACCAAAACAAGGGGCCAGCAGGCAGAGGGGGCGCCCGACCACTCCTGTCCCTCACCCCAGCCGCTATCAGCCGACAGCCTTTCAGGAACACCCTTGGGTGTCACAAGCCACCACTCCCAGAAGGAGGAACAGCCCAGAAAGACCGGACTGCGCTACAGGACGGACTGGGCGCAGCGGCCCCAGCTCACGTCTGGGGCCACGGCAGAGCCAGCGCAGACTCGCAGTAACCGGTCACGGAGGCCGCCAGAGAGCAGCCTGGTGGTCACTCTTCCCTGATGACAAGGACGAGGGCCGGCCAGCGCCGACCCCGGAGGCCAGCGGGCCGGGCAGGGCTCGTACCGAGCAGGACGGAGCCCCCACAGTGCACCGCGGCTCCCTTTCCGCCTCCAGCGTGACACCCACGGCAGCGGGGCGTGCAGGCAGGCTCTGGGGGCGCTGGGCGGAGAGGCTCCCAGGCGGGCACACTGCCCTGCGCTGCAGTCCCCCTGGCGATGAGGACACGGACCCCCAGCAGCACCCTCTCGCAGGCGCGCGGGCCACCCAGGCCCCCCCCGCCCTCAGTGCACAGCCCCGCCCCCCTGCAGCGCTCGCTGTGAGCTGCGCACACCGAGCGGAGCGCCCCTCCCACGGAGCTCAGCGCCCCTCCCACGGGGCTCAGGGCCCGTCCTGGGCACGCACGTCCTCCCTGTGACGGAGTCCCGCCCTGGGGTGCGGTAGGTTTGGCGGAGAAGACCCTCCCCCTCCCAATGCAACAATGCTGTCCCACAGGGGGGCGGGGTGGGGGCGCGGTGTGACTCTGCGGGTGCGGCCCAGGGCTGTCCCAGGCCCCGCCCCACCTGCTGCCACACGCAAGTCCACTCTGGGCGCCCCCGGGCGCGTCACTGCCTGAGTGTCCCCAACATGCAGGGCGGGGTTCCCTGTGGCAGGCCCTCCCCACGGCCCCATCCTCGGGCCGAGCCGCTCCGCCAGGGGGCCTGTGACCGGCCACACACACGCCCTGAGCCTTCCCACGCCGCCGCAGGGCCTCCTCAGCTCAGCTGGGCCTGCCTCTCTGTCACAGCGGCTCTTCCTCCAAGTGCCCTGAGCTCTGTCCCGTCGATGCCGCAGCCCCTCCCGCTCCCGCTGTCGGAAAGGGCACCTCCTGACACGGCCCCTCCCTCCTGTGTCTGCTGGGGCCTTCTGTCCCACACCCGGCGGCCCTGGCCCTGGAGGACGCGAAGTCCTGCCCGACGCCCCCGCGGGCTCTCCCGAGTGCTGCACACAGACCCTGCAGACGGCGTCAGCGCTCCCTCTTCCCGCACCGTTGCCCCTTTTCTGCTTCCCTGACCTGCCCGCACTGGCTGGCCTTTCCCCACGGCACGCTCCACAGGAGGGGACAGAAAGGCACGAGAAGCGCTCCTACCACCGCACCAGTGAGTGTGACGTGTGCTGAGAGGTTTCGAGAGAAACCCCCGAGAAAAATCAAGGAAGTCCGCTCCCAACCCTGGGTTGCGCACCGCACCGAAGAGCGGTGGGTGTCATCACAGGCCTTTCCTCCACCCACCGAGACAGGCGGTGAGCCTGCGACAGCCAATCCCGAGGACACCACCCGCGCACCGCAGAGCAAGGCCCTGCCCGCCCTCGCTGGGACGGGGAGCACCCGGCCACCCCGGCCGCCCCGCAGCTCTGCACCTGCACCGGGCAGCACGCGGTTGCCCGGACCAGCAGGCCGCGCACCCCGCGGACACCAGTGGGGACCCTGCTCGGACGCCGCCCCCCGCCCTGTGATGTGTCGTGGGGACGGGGGCTCAGCAGGTGGGGGTCGTGGGCACGCGGGGCCGTGACGCGGGCCCGGCCCGGCCTCGGCACCGACACAGCCCCCCGGGACCCAGCGCCCTGCACCCAAGCTGCGTCCTCGTCCAGGGCGTCCCGGCTCCTGGGGCCCCTCAGCCCCGTGAGGGGGGGGGAGGCTGTGGCGACCACAGCTACTTGTTCGGTCCAAGGTGGCACAGGGCTCACTACAGACAGCTCCGTGGACACCCCCCTCCAAAGTGGGTGCGACCCCCAAACCGCGCAGTACCCACCTCGTCCCGGTGCTTTTGACAGAAGACCAGGAACTGGGAGGCGGCGTCCCCCTTCCGGCTCCGCGGTGTGGCGGCCGCGGCCTTCTTCCTCCCAGGGACGGCGCCCACGCCTCTCCTGGGACCGGCTTCGGCCGCTGTCTGGGCTGCCGTCGCTGCTGCTGCAGAGCCGCCGTCCTGGCTGTCGGCAGGGGGGGCTGGCTTCGCCCTCCCCCTTCTCTTGACTGCAGTGCCCTCTTCTCTCCGGGGCCCCGTGGGCGCGGCCGCCACGCCCAGCATGCCCGCCTCCTTGGCCACGTGCGGGTTCAGGTGGAGCTGGCCCCCCACGTAGAGGAAGGTGAACTTGGCCCTCCGCTCCTCCACGGACATGCCCGCGGCCTCGGCGGCCTGGCAGAGCCCCGTCTCCCACTGCGCACGCAGTCTGCCCGCGATGGGCTTCAGCAGCTGCAACGAGGGGGGAGCGGGGGGGGGGGGGCGGTGAGTTTCACTGCGAACACACGCGCGCTGACCCACCGTGAAGGACACCCGTAGAGTTTCACACAGATTCAGAAATCAGAAACTACAAAAACCAACTAACTTGAGGGTTTCGCATGGAGTTCAGCCCCATCAGTGTTTCTTACAGCTAGAAACAAACTTAATCGCACTTGACTGGCGTACAGACGGACACATGCACTGTAGCACGTGTGTTGCCTACTTCCACACCCACGAGGAAAAACGGAAATCACGGGACAAGCTAAAACCACACTCGCGCTGTGGGGCTGGGGTCAGGGGCGCCCAGCACCTTGATCTTCTCCGCCTTCGTGGGCGCCTGCCGGGCGCTCTCCTGGCACAGCTTCTCGAACTGCGCCTCCCCTTCGAAGGGCGCCAGGCTCTTCTCGAAGACCCAGGCCCGCTCGGGGGCGTCGCCGAAGAACTGCACGTGGTACTGCCGCGCGCTCTTCCGCTGACCTGCACGTAGAACAGAAGGCCGCGTCCGCGAGGGAGGACGCCCCGGGCGCGGGCCGAAGGCTCGGTCCCTGGCGCCGGCGGCCACCTCGGCCTGACCTGCTCTCTCACCCGCGCCCGGGAAGGACGGCCAGGTAAGGGTCCGGATGCCTGGGAGAGAGCGCTGACCAAATCACACCTTTACCTCCCCCCTTCCCAGACCCACTTAAGGAGCTTCCAAACGCGTGCGGCCGGAGAGGCCGTCGCAAAAGGGCCACTCGACGGAGGGGACAAGAGAGCAGTGCAGGGGAGCCAGAGGGGCTCAAGCGACCTGGGCCCGAAGCCCACCCGGCCACCCACCCACTGCAGCGCTCGGAGGCGCTGAGGGCGGCCACGGGGCCTGAGGAGCCCGAGGTGCCCACGGCTGCCGCCCTCGGCAGAGAGAAGCCACACCCTCCCGTGCAGTCAGGGGGCCTGCGCGAGGGAAGGGACCCCTGACCCCCAAACCCGAGGGGAGGGTGCTGGGTCGGGGGGAGGCGGGAGGAGGGCGAACATGAGGGAGTGGGCTGCCAGGTCAGACCTCTGCGCCAGTGGGGAGGAAGGGTCTCCGCCGGGGAACCGAGTCCCTTCGCTCACACAGAACACTGGCCGCGCGGGGTCAAGAGACGCTGGTCAACAGGCAACCGAGCCCTCAGACGAGAGCTGGCAGCCTCCCCACGCACACGGGCCGCGGGCCGCTCGGAGGCCGCTCGCTCCCTCCGACACGGGCTGCCGAGCACACGGACATGGGGCTCCGCAGAGCCGCGGGCACAGCGGGCGGAGGGCGCCCCACAGGCTCGCTCGCTCACTCGCCACAGAAGGAGACAGAGAAAGAGCCTCAGGAGTTTCAGAGGATGTCCCCGACCAGCATGGCTCAGGTGGCTGGGCACCACCTGCAAAGTGAAAGGTCGCTGGTTCGATCCCCAGTCAGGGCGCGTCCCTGGGTTGCAGGCCAGGTCCCCAGTAGGGGGCGTGTGAGAGGCAACCACACGTTGATGTTTCTCTCCCTCTCTTCCTCCCTCCCCTAGAAAACTACAGGACCAGTCGAGGAGACACAAGATTCGGCAACGAACCAGTCTCTGAGAGAAGCTCGTCGAACAACGCAAAAGCGTGTCTCCGAACTCACACCCCCAAGGGCCTCCCCCAGCATCCACACCGGGGCACCCCCCTGTGACAGTCAAGCCGCTGGGGGGACAGCACCCGTGTTGATGGAACGGCAGGCAGAACGTCAAGGTACACAAGAGCAGCTCTGGAAGCTGGCAGGGAAGGAGGGAACACCTCATGCTGCTGGGAAAACCGACCCCCAACAAAATGCGACGCCGGCCAAACCCGTCAGTCAGGCATGAGGACGCTGGCCGCCTGTGCTTCCTCCGGGCACCCAAAGCGGGCTGGGCAGGGGTGGAGCCGCAGGACACTCCTGGGACTCGAGGCGCCTTCCTCCAGCCTGCGACAAGGAACCACGGGGCCCAGCAGGCAGCGTCCTGGGGAGGACCCTGAAGGGAAACCCGGGCAGCGAGGAGAGGGCGAACAGGCGAGGCCCCGGGAGCAGGACAGGAAAACAGGAACCAAACAGGTGTTCACTGTTCCCCGACAGGAGAAACCCACTGTCAGCGTGAGTCTTTTTCAACGTGTTTATTGATTTCAAAGAGAAAGAGAAGCGTCAATCGGGTGCCTTTCGCACGCGCCCCGACTGGGGGTGGAACCCACAACCTAGGTGTGTGCCCTGACCAGGGATCAAACCTGTAACCTGTGGGTGTTGGGATGACGCTCCAACCCACTGAGCAGCCTGGCCTGGGCAACAAGATCCGTTTTAAGGACAGAGAAATGAATACTTGAAAAAAATTAAGGCTGTACGGACAGCAAAGTATATGATTTTTAAAAGAAAAGTGGTAACTAACTCCAGGAAAAACAAAAGGTTGTATAAGCAAGTGCAATTACAGCACCCAACATGGCTTTTCTTAATGACATTTACACACAGCCAAGTGACGTGAACACGCAGGTTTGTCTGATGAAAACAGTGAGCTCGTTATGTGGGAGGCTGGGAGGGCAAGACACAGGAAATGACCTAAGAGACCACTTTCCATTTTCCCTAACAGAAAGTCAACAGATGCCCTGGCTGGTGCGGCTCAGTGGACTGAGTGCTGGCCTGTCGACCAAAGGGTCGCCAGTTCGATTCCCAGTCCAGGCACATGCCTGGGTTGTGGGCCAGGTCCCCAGTAGGGGGCGTGCGAGAGGCAACCCCACACTGATGTGTCCCTCCTCTCTCTCCCTCCCTTCTGCTCTCTCTAAAAGCAAAGAAACAAAATCTTAAAGCCAGGGTTGCAAACTAGCAGCTCAGACCTGAATCCTGAACGTTTAAAACAAATGGTTAAGACAGCAAAGCTCACGTCACGTGCGTTTTAACACAACGAGAAAAGAGAGGAGGCGGCACTGCGGTCGGGCTACTGAAGGCCGGGGGAGGGAGCAGCCGGGGGGCGAGAAAGGCCACGGCCGGTGAGCGGGCAGCGCAGCGGAGGGCCCGGCGCCGTACCTTTGAGCTTGGTGTAGCTGTGCAGGAGCGGGTCGGCGGACACCATGCACGGCCACCACGGGTACCCGGACACCTTGGACCACACCAGGTCGCCGACGTTGTACTTCAGCACGCGGTCTTTGTCCCTGCCGGCGCCGGGGCAGGGCTCCCTCGCAGCCGCAGCCGGGCCCTGGAGTGAACAGGAGAGTGTGCCGACACACCCAGAACCGCCCCTTGGGCCGCCCTCTGTCCGAGAAGGCCCAGCGGGGACGACCCCAGCGGAAGCTTCCCCCGCCCGGCACCCACCACTGCGGGGCAGGCCGGGTGCCTGCAGAGCCCGACTCACGTCACCGGGGGGCCCCGTGTCAGCTCCCGGCCAGGTGGGCGGCCTTAACAGCACCTCCCCCAGCTGGTCAGAGGACTCCTTGGATCCCGCCGCCCGGCACACGCCTCAGCCATGGTGGCAGAACCCAGGCGGGGGAGGACCCCGGCAGGCCTGGGAGCAAGTGACAGGACACCCTGGGACCCAGACCTCAGTCTCCCTGTCCCGGACCACAGGCGGTCAGGGGCTGCCGGCCTGACCCAGCTGCCTGCCGCCCGGAGCCCTGTCCTGCAGGGGGACAGCCAGCCAGCGTGGCCCTGGCCTGCTCCTGGGTGTGAACCCCAGACCCTCAGGGGCCACATCCTGGCCAACCGCAGGACTTCATTCTGGGTCTGGGGGCTCAGCACGGCGGGCACAGGGCGGGCACCTGGCACACTCTTGAGGAGGCGGGCCCTCGGGTGAGTCCGCAGCGCCCAGCCTCACATTACCGTGTCACCTCAGCCCCACGGCACAGCCCCGAGGACAGGCGTCCGGGCTCCCACTCTGAAGGGGGAAAGTCAAAGCGCAGGGCGCCTGCCCCTTTGGGCAAAACCAGGGGGCGGGGCGGGGCGGGGGCTGCCCACAACCGCCGGCACCTCCAGAGCCGTCTCCGGCCTGGTCCTGGTCACTTCAGAAACTCGCCCCAGTGCTCGCACTGACAAGACTGACACAGCCCCTGAGCACTCAAACACGCACTTTTTAAACCTCAAAGTTCTTCATTATTTCAATAGTTTCAAGGAAATTTTGGCCATTTTCTCTCCTACCTGGGGAAACTGCAAATGAAAGTCTTTGACGATAACGTCAAACCAAATATTCCAACCCTGATGTTACACCACCCCCCCAACCGGTCTCAGCGTCCCCGTCCCCACTCCTGTAAGCGGGCCACAAGGCCGTCACTGGGCCACCAGTGCCTGGGGAGCAGCAGAGGCTCCCCGGCTGCCCCGCTCGGCCCACACTCACCTAAGTGGGGGGCCACCCTGGGCCACTGTACGATGCGAGGACACAAAGCCCCGCCCACAATCCTGCGGGGTGGGCTAGGGCTTGAACCCTGCCTCTCATGAGCGAGCCCTGGGCACCGGGAGCCTGGCGGGGAGACACAGCCCAGCCCACAAGGAGGCGGGCCCTGCGCTGCCCGGGCAGAGGAGATGCCGAGAGACAGCCACGCTGACTCCTCAGGGGGGCAAGGCTCCCTGCGCCTCCGCTGGCCAGAGCCAGGCCCCGCCCACCTCTGGAGAGGAGGCCAGAATCGGGAAGAGCCAGGGGTCAGGAACTCAGAGAGCAGTGTGACCCCTTTATGCCACTTTGACCTCAGGGTATCTCCGACCTCGGCAGGCCTCCCAGTGGCTCCACCACGGGCGAAGGCCTGAAGGAGGCCAGGCTCCGGGCTCCTGGAGCCCTGCCCCCACCACGCCCACAGCCCCACCCCCCCAAAGCCCCCCCCCAAGCCCTGAGCAGAGAGCTGCGTCTGTCTGCGCCGTCCCTGCCCCCAGGCAGGGCCCCTCCTGGGTACCTTCTTGTCCGCGGGGCTGGAGGTCTCCGGCGCCAGGGCGGCTTCCGCCAGGCCCTGCTCCAGTAAGGAGTCATACTTTATGCTCCTCTTCCGGCTCCTCCTCGCCTTGCTCTCCGGCCTCTGTCCGTTCTCCTCGGACGGGGGCAAGTCCGCGGCCCCGCTCCCACAGATGGAGGACTCGAAGAGCGGCTTCCCGTTCATGTAGGTCTTGGTGATCTTCAGCTTGATCTCGGGAGAGCCGTTCTTGGTGGGGCTGGCGCTGGGCGGGGTCCCCGTGCCTCTCCCCTCCGGGGACTCGAAACGCAGTTTGGCCTCCTGAGCACCGGGGTCTCCATTGAACACGCGGGAGGTCAGGTCTCGCAGCTTCTCCGCCGGGAGGAAGGGCAGCGCGTCGTGGCCGTTGAACTTCTGCATGACCCCCTCCTGCAGGCCGGCGGAGAGCTGCGCCTTGCCGAGGAACACGGAGCACTCGCGGCTCACCTCGCAGCCCGGGGCCTTCCCGGTGCTGCCGCCCAGGGCCTCCGGGGCCTGCTTCATCCTCACGCACGGGACGGCTTTCTGCACCGAGAGGGGGCTTTTCTTGATGCTCAATTCCATTCGGTCCCGGTGCTTCCGTTGGTGGACGCTACACTGTCAGGAGAACAGGAAGGAAAGAGAGAAGCAGCCCGTTAAGGCCCAGCACAGGCAGCCCACACCTCGGCGGCGCCCCGCGCCTGCTTTGCTGCCAAGTCGACTCCCGGTGCAGTGCACGCCGACCCGCCACAGGAGGCAGTGCGAGCACAGACGCGAGGACACGAGCGCGCGGCCTGACAGAGCCGGGGGAGCGAGCGGGACAGCCTCTGAGGAAGAGCACACAAAGCCAGGCTCCGCCTCTCAGGGCAGGCCAGCGCCTCTCGCCATCAAGGTGGCTGGGGGGACATAGCACCTGACCTGCTTCATTGCCCCAGGGGGGACACCGTGGGCTGCCCCGGCGCGCCCATGCAGGGGCAGCCGACACAGCGTGGGCCTGGCACAACCGAGGCCGCCTCCTGGGCAGAGGCTCGCTGGCGGGCGCGGGTCACCTGAGAGCAGAGTCTGAAACCAGATGCTCCTCGCCCCAGCTGCTGTGGCTTGGTGGACTGAGCAGCAGCCTGAGAACCAGAAGGTCACCGGTTCGATTCCCAGTCAGGTCACATTCCTGAGCTGTGGGCTAGGTCCCAGTTGGGGGCGTGAGAGAGGCAACTAATCTGTGTCTCACTTGCACATCCATGTGTCTCTCCCTCTCTCCCTCCCTTCCCCTCTCCCTAAAAATACACAAAATCCAAAATTTAAAGAAAAACACAGACGTGCCGATTCCTGGCACATCGCTAGTGCCAGACGGATGGAGGAGCCGAGCGTTGGAAAGGGAGACAGCCACCCGAGTGAGTCCAGGTGCAGGCCTGGCTGGCGCGCCACCCCACCCCGCCTGCCCGGCCCAACCTAAAGGCCAGCCCAGGAGGGGCCGAGAACCGGACAGGGCCACCCCCCATCACGAGGGCGATGCCCCAGTGCGCTCGCGGGCCCCTGGGCCCACCTGCGGAGGCCCCTCTGGCTGCACTGTCCCCACAGGCGTCTTCACGGCACAGCCATCGTCCCCAGCGAAGGGCCCAGACCCCAAATGGTGGCCAAAGTGCAGGCACCCGTACCGGCGGGGGTCACCCCCCAAGAGTGCCTCAGGATAGCCACCGGGAGGCCGCACACAGGAGGGAGCACCAAAGCGCCTGAGGCTGGGGAGGCGGGCGTGAGGCCTGCAGACGCGTGAGCAGCAGCTCCGACTGGGACGACCGGGCCACCAAGGACGCCCAGCCTGTCTGCACACAGCTCTGACGGCCACCGCGTGGGAGCTGCCCCGCCACAGGAGGGGCAAGGTCGTGGGCGCCCCCGCACGTGTGGACAGAGCTCCAGCAAAGCTCCCCCGGGGGCAGCGGCCAGCCCTGTGGCGGTTAAGCCACCCACGGCCGAGGGGCCGGGCACCTACAGCTCCCACAAGCGAGCAGGGTGGGCAGGACAGCTGGGGGGGGGCGCGGAGCAGCGACAGCCCTGGTGCGGGGGAGGGTCCTGTGTGCGGGGCCGCCGCCCAGCCCTGGGACACACAGCAGAGTGTGCTGCGGGGCTCAGGCCCTGCTCTCTGGGGGTCAGGCGGGGCAGTCCCGTCCCCGTCCCCGTCCCCGCCCCAGCCCCAGCCCCAGCGGGGCGGGAGCACTCTGCCGCCCCAGCCGAGGCCGCGAGACCAGCGAAGACAGCGGAGGGCACAGGTGCTGGGAAGGGAGAAATGAAACCACCTTTCGTTCACAGGGAACGGGAGTGGCTCACGTATGTAGGGAATCTCAAAGAATCCAAAAAAAGTCCTGGGACTAATGAGCAACGTAGCAAAGTCACAGGGTACAAGGCCAACACACACAAGTCAACTGGCCGCCTGCTCACCGGCTGTGAGCAAGCACAAGTGCACACTGAGCGCACACCTTACACTAGCACCCCCAAACTTCAGCACACAGGAACAAATCTAACTGGACGCCCACGAGACCTGTGAGAAGGAAACGCCACAGCGCCGCCGAGCGGGACCCGAGAGCTGGAGCAGTGGGAAGACACCCGTGCTCCCGGGCGGCGGGGAGGCTCCATGCGGCCGCGGTGCCAGCTCCTCCCGGCCTGGCCCGCGGGTCACACGCACCCCCCCGCCATCAAGACCCCGACGAGTTCTTCTGTGGACGCCAACAGGCTGATCCGACACTGCATGTGGCGGCAAGAGGCCCGGAGCAGCCAACACAACAGGACGGACAGGAGCAGAGCAGCGCCTGGCGCCACGCCCCGGACCCGCTGCCACGGCGCCGTCCCCGAGGCCGGGCGGTCCCCGAGGCCGGGTGGTCCCCGAGGCCGGGTGGTGTTGGTGAGAGAGCAGACAGACCCGGGCGTTTAAGGAGTCATCTCAGTACGCCAAAGTGTGCAGGTTCGATTCCTGGTCAGGGCACACACAAGAGTCAAACAGTGCCCTGGCTGGGGTGGCTCAGAGGACCGAGTGCCAGTCTGCAAACCGGAAAGTCGCCAGTTGGACTCCCAGTCAGGGCACACACCTGGGTGACCAGCCAGGTCCCCAGCAGGGGGCGCATGAGAGGCAACCACGCATGCATGTCTGTCTCCCTCTCCTTCTCCCTCCCTTCCCCTCTGTCTGAAAATAAATAAGTGGAATGAGAAAGAGAAGAGAAGAGAAGAGAAGAGAGGAAGGAAGGAAAAGTACATGGAACAAACCAATGTCTCTCTCTCAAATCAATAAATTAAAAAAGTTTTAAAAAGAGGAAAGACGCTTCACTTCCTCTGTCCCTGGGAAAATGCGCACTAAAGCCAGTGAGATCCCACGGCCGGCCGTCGGAACAGCCGACCCAGCGCCCGAGGCCAGCAGGTGCGGACGCGCGCTCCCTGCCGGTGGGGCAGGCACAGTGCAGTGACCCTCTTTCTCCGTTTGTACCTACCTTCAGAGGTGGGGGAGGGAGAGAAGAGAGAGGGGAAGGAGGAGGGAGGGAGAGACAGACAGACAGACATCCATCTGTCGTTCCACTTATTTGTGCATTCACTGGTGGACGCCTGCATGTGCCCTGACCGGGAATAGAACCCACCACCTTGGTGTACCAGGGACGACATTCTAACCACCGAACCACCCAGCCAGGGCAGTGCAGTGACTCTGGAAGGTGGTTTAGTGGTTTCTTACAACACCAGACACACTCTCACCGTACAGTCCAGCAATCGCACTCCACGGTGAACACCTGCGTGTGCTGAAAACTCACACCCACACACAAACGCTTGCACGTGGGGGTCCACAGCAGCTTTACTCACAATTGCCAAACCCCGGGGGCAGCCCAGGTGTCCTCCAGGGAACGGGCACGCCAGGGCCCGCCCAGACAGCGGAACTCGACTTGGTCTTAAGAAGGAAGGACCGTCGGACACCTGCTGCACGGGGATGACCCTTGAAGACCTGGGGCTCAGTAAGAGGAGCCGGTCACAAAAGACAAACACTGCAGACCCCCACTCCCATGATGCCCCTCTGCGGGCAGACTCGCAGGTACAGGAAGCAGAGTGGAGTTTGCAAGCGCGTGAGGGAGGGGACCGTGGGACACGGGTGTCTTGTGGAGACAGTTCCCGCCGCGAGGAAGCAGCTGGCTGCAGGCTGCGGCACAGTGCAGCCGCTCCAGGTGCCCCCGAGCCGCACACCGAGCGAGGGCCACAGCGGTCGACCGTATGTGGGTCATGTTATCACCACACACCTCTGCCCTCGGGGGCTTACACGCCAATGGAGTCCCAGCAGCAGCAGCACCAGGGAGGGCGGGACAAGGCCATTTTCAGAGGACCATGACGGAAACTGCCCCAGAAAGAAGAGGGAACTAAAGGAGCACTGGGCGGGGGAGAGACACAGTGGTTCCAGAGCGCCCGGGGCTCTGGCCCAGACAGACAGACAAACACAGATCCAGGCCTAGGCGCAGCCCCTCACACTGAAACCACAGCCCACTGGCGGCACCGAGGGAGCCTGAGCACCCAACTGCCCAGCTCCAACTGCCCGGCCCCAACTGCCCGGCTCCAGCAGGAGGCCCCGGGAGCGCTGGCCCCCCTTGGCCCCAACCGACGGCAGGGGGCGATATCCCTCTAAAGCAGGGGTCCCCAGCCTCCCCCCTTCCAGTCCATGGATTCCTCCGGCAAGACCGCCCAGGCTCCGCCTCCTGTCTCCCCCACTGCCACCCTGGTCCGAGGCAGACTGTCCCCATGGAGCCGGCGCCTGGCCCGGAATGGCCGGGTACTGCTGCTCCGGGTACTGCTGCTCCAAGGGGCGGGGGGAGAGCCGGCCCCTGTGAACCATCGTTCGCACGGGCGGGGGGGGGGGGGGGAGGCCAGGCCTGGGAGCATCTAGTGCCATGAGAGACACCAGAGGATGCTCTGCGGGGGGAGGCTGGGCTGGGCTGGGAGCAAAAGGCAGAAAACTGTACTTGAACAGTTAAAAAAAAAGGTGCTCTACAGCAAGAGCACACATCCAGAGGAGAGACCGGGGTGTGGAGCGGAAGGGACCAGCGGTCGCTCTAAACGCACTTGCATCTAGAAAGAGCGTGGGGCTTCCTTTCGCACACTTACCAACACTCCTCCCAGGACCCTCCAGTAAGACGGCAGAACGGGAGCCCCGGCTGGCGCGGCTCAGGGGACTGAGCGCCGGCCCGCAAACCAAGGGGTCCCCGGTTTGACTCCCACTCAGGCCACAGGCCTGGGTTGGGGGCCAGGTCCCCAGCGGGGGCGAGCGAGAGGCAACCAATTGATGTATCGCTTCATCTTTCTCCCTTCCTTCCCCTCTCTCTAAAAATAAATAAATAGAATTTTTAAAGCAGGTGAGACTGCCAGGTGTCAGCCATGTTTTCCCTTGCAAAACACCCCAAGGTAACACACGCAACACGTAACCGGGGTAAGAAGGGAAGGCAGCCCCGGTGCAGCCTGGGTGAAAGGTGGGAACAGGGGCGTCCGAGCCGAGAAGCACCACTCGGTGTCACCAGCGGCCCTCCCTAGGGGGCAGGGAGGGCCGGGCGTCCAGGCGCAGTGCTGCTCTGTCACAGGGTCGCAGACACCACGTGACCGACACGTCCAGT